GAATTGATCGGTCCAAATATTGTCAAATTTTTGTCTTTTATTTTGATCATATAGAAATAAAATATTTAAATTAAAAATAAAATAATATTTTATTTAAAATTTTTTATTTAGAATATTGTTTGATGGGGATTCAAATGTTGAGGATGTCATTTAAATTTAAAAAGATATTGTGGCCATTTACATGCACGCCACAGGATTAATATATATATATATGCAACACCTAAATTCTACTATTTACAAGTGTTTCACCCATTTTTATGATGTCGCATCACAAGTATCTCTATTATAATTTTGAAAGAGATGGGTACATCTTTTTTATTTTCTTAAGTCATTGGTAAGGGTCATTATGTAAAAATTAAAGTTTATGTTAGATATGTAAATACATAAGAATTTAGTGGTATGTATGTAAATCTTCTGAAATACTACTAATTAGTGAAACGTAAATCTCTATTTTGTTGATATACAAAAATTTGGTTTTTGGTCGGCTGCCTTAACCCTTCGACTGATTGGACCTTCGACGCTGAGTAGATCTCATTAGACCTCAAGTTTTTAAGAATCACCCCCAAATTGGGGGGCAGCTTCCATCGCAAAGAACTCTCTGTCAGGACATCTCCCAACATCAATGCATTTTCTTCAACTTGATCAAGAACTAAATCTCTTCAAGATTTAATATATTGACTACTTTACTGGTTAATGTGGGAGATGCCCCAATTGGGGATAATAAATTCAAAAATAACAATAGAAAAGTTACAAAATATTATGTGGTGACAACCATTACAGTTTATCTTGACCTATGCCCTAATCTCGGGAAATACAGTGAATCTCTGATGCCTTATTTTAGGCTCAATCAGTCCTAGGAGAACTCGATTTGATTTCTTCTATCATGAATTACGGTCGTCAAGCAGAAGCTTCGACTAACAATCTTGGATATGTAAAAAATCCTTGGTGATATTATCTCAACCTTATTCATGACAGCTTAGCATCATTGAACATCTTTAGTTATACAATCTAGGATAAGTCTTACAATTGACTTCTTTCGCAACATGCTACGGTCTTTGAGCGGATGCACTCTGACTAAACAACCTAAAAAATGTTAAACAGTCTTTGTTGCAAACAAAGTCTCCACCCATAATCCTGGAAGTCGAGCTCAAGAGGCAAAACTCAAATGGAAGCTATAGTATCTCTAGAAGATGAGCTTAAGAGGAAAGTCACGACAAAAAGCTACCATGTTCCTAGAAGACAAGCCCAGGGGTAAGTATCGATAGAAAACTAGTATTGGGCAGCGTCCTCTCTAGAAAGGCTCCATGAGAGAAATTAGTTGATAAGATCTCTACTCAGAGACCTTAAAAGGCTACAAGGCTCAAAAGACACATGTACATCAAATACTTCAGAAGGTTATAAGTCTTTGAAGACACTAATACATCAAAGACCTGGGAAGGCTACATGTTTCAGAAGAAATCGGTACATTAATGACTTCAGAAAGCTACTAGCCTCAGAAGGCACGGATACATTAAAGCTTTTACAATTCTACAAGTTTTAGAAGGTACAGGCACATCAAAGACCTCAGAAGGCTATAAGACTCATAAGACACATATGTATTACAAGCCTCTCAAAAGACAGCCTTAGAAGGCGCAAACCTCAAAGGTACAAGCTTAAGAAGACACAAACCTCAGAAGGCCCTAGTAGCCAAATGTACATAACTTTTCTTTATAAAAAGCACGTGTACTAACTTTGATTGTAGACTTCTATATATTTTAGTAGTTAGAGAGTCTCAGAAGGCATAAATCTCATGAGAACTCGATACTACTATACACATACCCACCAGATGGATGCAACAACAACCTGAAGACATCAATAACACCCTAGAAGTGGGGCAACGATAGCTAATAAGTGGGTAAAATCATACCAGAAGTTGGGTAGCAACACCCAATAAGTGGGGTAAAAGCATCCCATAAGAGGGGTAACCACAACTTAAAAGGAAAGACATAAAATTTTATTACATCAAGCAAGAGAAAGACATATAAACAAACACACTATAAACATGTATAAATGTCATATCTGACAATTGAAAAGCTAAAACAATTAAGAAAAAAAAATACATTGAAACATCCTCCTCATCCCCATAAGTTATGCAGTTCCTTGTTTACTTCTTCAAAAATCAATACCCTCACTTGAAAATCCTTCAAAGTCTCTATAATCCAATTAATGAGTTATGTGCTCTCTACTGAAGTGGTTGATCTATGCAAACTTGGTCTTCCATTCTCTCAAAGAAAGTGCAAGTTCATCTTCAAAAGATATCAACATTCCCTTCCCTTTTGCTGATTTTCAAAAAAAAACATTATTCACTTTAGATTGACATCACACAACAAGACAAAAAATCTCCTCTAGAAAGATGAAAATGTCATCCAAAAAGCACGGCATCAGTGCAAGAAATCCTTTCTAGAATGCACGATGGGGAAACAAACTTTTTTCCATGAAGAATCCCCTGTGGAATGTGCAGCAAAAAAAAATCTAATTTTTTTTTCATATTGAATCTTCTTCATAATATGTGGTGGGAAAACTCCAATTTTTCATCACTCAAAATCCCATTTTGAATGCACAACTGAAAATCAGGAGGCACCCTCTGGAATGCGCGATGGGGAGACTCTAACTCTTTTTACCCTTTATGACCTATTATAGACTCAAAATGACCCAAAACAAGAAAAATAAACCTAGGAACTAGCAAATTTTGGGTCTAAACTATTGAATCCGAGCCAGATGTTTGATTCCACGTGATGGACAGTTGTCCCACATGATGCAAGTTACCAACATGTAATAGATCCCAAATTTTCTCATTACATGTGCAATCTCATCACTATCCGCGTGAAATGTTGTAGGCACATTTGATCCAGCGCAACTACTGCATTTGATTTTGTACCTAGGCATCATGGACACCACCTCACCTGCTCCATCATCTTCCTTTCCAGTGCAATAAACCAAGCTCGATAGTGCCACTCCAAGCCCGCTTTGGCGGCTAGTGCACCCGACCTAACTCGTTGACCCGCTTCCTAAACCTAGCCTCCTAACCTAACCCACTGACAAAAAAACAAATAATTCACATGGAAGGAGATTTAAACGCGGGTCACAAGAGATGAAAGTGGAGCTTCCACCAACATAGTTATTATCCTTTCACACACACACACACACAAATACATATATCTATATATTTAAAATATATATATATATATGTATATAATCAAATATATAAAATTTTTATAGTTTCAGACGATGAAACTAGTCTTGCTCAAAAATATGAGATCAATTGATACGCCATCAATAAATTTTCATCATTTGACACTGATCTCGAGGTGCGAAACAATTCTCAAGGCATTTTATTTAGCGAGAAACTTTCAATTTCCAGTTAAAAATCATTCTGAACTCTAATTTCAATAAACTTACAGTTAAAATAATCGACTCGATGAAATAAACATAATGACACGAAAATTAGTCTGAATTGAGTCGAATCAAGCCCAAATAAAAGCATTAAGCAATTTCTGGAAGCTTTCAATGTTTAAATTGGAATGTCAAACGAATTCCAAATCTGACAAGCTTATGGTCGAATTGAGCTTCCTGATGAGACAAATCCAACTAGCTTAAAATAACTCAATTCTAACATCAGTAAGACACTTAAATGTCCATAGAAAGCAGCCTAATCGTGGGGATCTCTCAAGGCTATCCGATAGAGTGGTCAAACTTCCTTATTCCTTGGGAAGCCTTTCGCATAATTTATAAATAGAGTCATCTCCCATTCATGAAAGGGGAATTAAAAATAATGTTCCCCGAATACATTATAATGAAACACCTCAAATTCATTCTAAAAAACGTCTTAAATATAGTGCAATGACATGCCCCACATACAATGCAACAATGTCTTTTGAATATGATGTAACAACGCACTCTGAAATAACTACATATAACTACTGTACTCAGAATATGATGACCAACTTTAACTCCTAAAGTTCTCTCCTCATAGCTCCAACAACTCTAAACATCATCATAACTTCTTGCTATGACCTACGTTACTAACTACAATCTCCACAACTCATGCAGCTCCAAACCCTGACCTTTGTAGTCAATAGACTTTTTCACAGCTCACATAGCTCCCAACTGCTACCATGATTTTTAACTATGACCTCTATGATAATTGGCACTGCATCCACCATCTAAAACATTTACGATGAGCTACTGTCTCTATAACAACTGACTTTGGCTCATATAGCCTACTATTACTGAGAATTATAAATAATTACAATTATTATCGATGAACTATTTTCGCACATCTATGCTGGTCAACTTTTTAACCGTCTTCTATAATTCAGGAGAAGAAGCGAACATATATATTTATGCTTACATAGTAGATTATTTCAACTGAGCTAAATCCCATGATTTTATTCCATTTTTAGGGGTTTTTGTGCAAAAATTTCTAGTGCTTTTGCCCATCACTTATTATCAAAGTACATGTGAATTTTCATACAATGCTAATTTGATGAATCATTACCATAGTGAATCTTCCAAGTTTCCACTTGACTTGGGCATTGGGTCGGGGCCTGACGTGCTCACCATAAGCCCAATTTAATTGGGCGGGCTTGACTGCAAAAAATAGAAATTTTGTGGGCTCGATTCGGCTCAAATCTGCATTGACTTAGTTAAAGCCAGAAATAACCAAACCCGGCCCGTTTAATAATATATATATATATATATTTAAAATGAAGTAATTTTGTGTGATTTGATACAATATTTGAAGACCCCATAAATTTAATTGATCAAATTTCGAATAAATCCGACTCGTGTTAAACCCACCTGCCCAATACCCTTATTGAACTTCAATCATAACTACTGACAAGTTCTCATTTAGAACGGGTAGTTGCATTTCAGGACGCATCTTTATTATGCCGTTAGAGAGAGAGAAAGTGAGTATGTGAGAGAGAGAGAGAGAGAGAGAGAGAGAGAGAGAGAGAGAGAGAGAGAGAGAGAGAGAGAGGCGGCGTTTCTTCTTCAACACTCGAGAAGTCTCCCACGCGAAGCAAACGATCTGCGGCGAGAGTTTTAAGGAGCGTACGCAAACCCGCGTTTGTTTCGTTCTTCGCGGGTGGATTGGGTTTTAACGATCCGTGGTTCTCCTTTTTACCCTTTTCGGTGCTTGATCTCCCATCGATCTTATCCACTATAGTTAGTTTCTTATTCCATCGATCATCTAAGATTTTGGGAAAAGTACAAAGTTATTGTTGGTGTTTTGCTAGATTCAAACTCCAAAGCAGTTTTACCTTTTTTGTTGATTTGTGTTTTTATTTATAGATTTTCTTGATATCGTTGATGCAACCGGAGTATTCCCTGATTTTTGATAGCTAGGGCTTGTTCGGTTTGTGTTGGGATCGCTACGCTGTGATATCTGTGTTGGGCTTTGCAGTTTAGGGGCGAGAATGAGAAGAGAGCTATTGTTTTGCTTGTGCGTTTCCTTTCTTTGGGGATCCTGCGTAGGGAGATTTGTGGTGGAGAAGAATAGCTTGAGGGTGACCTCGCCTGAAGCCTTGAAGGATGTGTATGAGTGCGCTATTGGGAATTTTGGTGTTCCTCAGTATGGTGGAACGATGATGGGGCTTGTCGTTTATCCAAAAGCTAACAAGAAGGCGTGCAAGGGATTTGATGAGTTCGATCTCTCTTTTAAATCGAAGGCGGGAGGACTTCCGACCTTTCTTCTTATCGATAGAGGAGGTGAGCTTTTCATCTGCATTACTTGAGAGGATGTTCTTGCTTGATCATGTAATGTTCTAAGCTTGGATTCTATCAGCTTTGATGATTTATTTGTTTTTTTTGGTTTATTTTTCGCATTATGCAAATATTTTGATCGTAAGGCTTGGAATTTAGCAGTTGAAAATGTTTAGCATTTTGACGTGTTGATGCATGTTAAGACTATATTTTCTTCATCTAGATGCTTTACTTCTCATGATTATCTTTTTTTCTTTTTTTCAAAGCTGAAGAATTCGTTACAGCATTACTTTCTCTATGGCTTCTGTTTTTACATACTACATATTTTGTGCATGATTGTAGGCAGTTATTTATTTAGTTACAACTTGTTAAGACTCCATAATTGTTCACTGAAGTTGATTATGGGTTATCAATGTCCTTATGATGAGCAGATTGCTATTTTACAAAAAAAGCATGGAATGCACAAAACGCAGGAGCTGCTGCAATCCTTGTTTCTGATGATAAGCTTGAACCTTTGATCACAATGGATGTGCCTGAAGAAGAATTGGGCAGTGGAGATTATCAACAGAATATATCAATTCCTTCAGTTTTGATAACCAAATCATTAGGGGACGACCTCAAAAAGGCCATTAATAATGGTGATATGGTTAATGTTAATTTGGATTGGAGAGAATCTCTACCTCATCCTGATGAGCGTGTTGAATATGAATTCTGGACAAATAGTAATGATGAATGTGGTCCCAAATGTGACTCTCAGATAGAGTTTGTTAGGAACTTCAAGGGAGCTGCTCAAATACTTGAGCGAAAAGGCTACACACAGTTTACGCCACATTACATCACGTGGTACTGTCCTGATCCTTTTATCCTAAGCAAGCAGTGCAAATCACAATGTATAAATCATGGAAGATATTGTGCTCCTGATCCAGAACAAGACTTTAGCAAAGGATATGATGGGAAAGATGTTGTTATGCAAAATCTGCGACAGGTCTGTGTGTTCAAGGTTGCTAATGATAGTGGAAAGCCTTGGTTATGGTGGGATTATGTAACAGATTTTTCAATTAGATGCCCCATGAAGGAGGAGAAATACACCAAGGAATGTGCTGAAAAAGTGATTCAGTCGCTGGGTGGGTTTGTAATTTTGTTTTAACTTGTCTAGGAAACAGAAGTGCTTTATAGATACTTTTACTATTCTATGGATGTTCATTAAACCAAAAGCCATCGGTTGTTTGATTAATTTCTGCAGGTATAGATCTCAAGAAGATAGATGAATGTATTGGAGATCCCAATGCAGATGATGTTAATCCTATACTGAAAACTGAGCAGGATGTGCAGGTTTTTATGAATAACCTTCTCTAACGTATTTAATGAACTCTTCTTTTTTTTTAAAAGATATTGATGTATTTGTCCGCTTTATCTGTAGATAGGACATGGTTCTAGGGGGGATGTAACGATCTTGCCAACTCTTGTTATAAATAACAGACAATACCGTGGTTTGCTTTCCATTTCTTATTGAGAATTATAATTATTTTATTGGTGAGATGCGCCTTTTAAAAGCGTGGTGGCTCTATTTTTTATAGGAAAATTAGACAAGGGTGCAGTTCTCAAAGCAATCTGTGCAGGATTTCAGGAGAAAACCGAACCAGCCGTTTGTTTGACAGAAGGTTTATCAATTTGTTTGACGGTCCTTATCATTCTTAGCTTAGCTTAGCTTAGGAGACTTAGGAGACTTACTCATTCTTGTTTTCATATGATTATATCAATTTAGACATAGAAACAAACGAGTGCTTGGAAAATAATGGAGGCTGCTGGCATGATAAAGCTGCCAATGTTTCTGCGTGCAAGGTATTCAATATTTTTGCGATTTTGGAGCTTCTGTTAGATGAAGTGCATTTTTTCCCCTGAAAATTCACTTTATTGTTCATTCATTTTCTTTTAGGATACTTTTCGAGGAAGGTTATGTGAATGCCCTATTGTCAACGGTGTGCAGTTTGTTGGTGATGGGTACACCCATTGTGAAGGTATGTTCATTTTCGGCTTCATAAATTTTAGGTTTGTGATGATTTGATGTTTCTTACAAAATTATATAAAGGACTTAGAGGAGGGGATCATAGTAGCAAAGGCTAAAGTTCATAGGACTTGTGATTTTTTTTATGATTGGTTAATCACTTCCTATTATCCTAACCAGTTTTCTTTCACACAACATACTTACCCTAATCCCAATTATCAATCCTAGCCTTGAACACCTTCATGCATAGTACACATCTCCTTTCTTTGCAACAATCAATGCCAGATAGCTATGTAGGCATAAATACATTGTTTAACCTGTAGTTGCAGGACTATGTATATTCACAATGGGTATAGTGGGTATTTTTTATTGTTCTGGTTGTGGAATGGCTTCTGATGTAGTCTTGGGTATTTTGGACTAGCTGTAGATGAAATGTTGTGGCTAGCCAAAGGCTTGAAAGCTAGGCTTTGACAGATAGCAAGGGTGAGGGAGGGGATTAGTAATACAAGTAATAATAAAGAGAGGAGAATATATATAATTTATTTGTTGCTCATCAAAGAATTACAAAATAATTACATATGGTCTTGATGACCTTGCTAAAAGATAATTATTTAACATTCAACAACAACAACCAACAAACCTTTATCCCACAAATTTTTTAACATTGCACAATATAAAACTCATCTTAGTGCTTTTCAAGAATTTTTGTAATGATGAGGCTAGAGCCTCATGGCCTTGCATGTGCAACATTCTCACAATATGTGAGATGCAACTCAATTTGAGCTTCACCTCAAAATTTAAGAGGTGTATATCTTATATCTAGGATATATGATGATTTTTTTTAAAATATATATAAACGAAAAAAAAATTAATTGTATGTATCCCATAATAGCAGGCGAAGAAACATATCTACTATTTATTTCCTAGGAAAATAGCTCTTTCCAGACTAATTACTTATGCGATGACCATAAACTACTTTTTAAGTATGGTTTTAAAAATAAGTTTGGGCTGGCTTAATCTATTCAAGCATGAATTATTCTTTCAGTTGTTTTGATTTTGGCCTAAAATCACTCCTGTATAGAATCAACCCAAATGTTGAACTAGTGACTTGGTTCGATTTCTTTTGAATCCCTCGGTTCTTATTCTAAACATATTTTGGCAATTTGATTTTGACCAATTAGGTAAAAATAATAGTTTTACATAAAAAATGATGAAAATCACTGCAATATTATGTTCTAAAATTTAATTTTAGATAATATTCATAATATTCGAGTTTGAAGTGACGTAAATTTGAATATTGTGTATTGAATTTATCAAAACATTATGTTGCACTATTATTATATCATTTAAATCATAAAAAGTTATTTTAATATTCATCATGTCATTTGTTTCAATAGGCCATTAAACATTGTTTTTTTCAGTTCAATTCCCAATCTGATTTATCAACTTTGTTTTTAAGTTTATTGTGATCAAAATTTGTTTGAACATAATTTAAACAAGGTTTGAATTAAGTTCTATGAAGTTTGATATATTATGTGAGAGAAAATTGAGCCATGTTCAAGCTCTATTGAAACCTTGTGTTTTGATTTGAAGATTAGGTTCTCAAACATGGCTAGAACACAATGTGAATAAGCTGTGTATGGTGTTTGAATAAGGTATAATTTAATAGCTATAATATATTATAATGAAAAACATTACATCATTATATAATATTTATAAAATCATAAAGATAAGCATTACATTAAATCAATATATTTATAATTTTTTTAGTGTTAAGATAAGCATAATCAAATACAAATTTTGATTTAACTAAATACAATCACAATGTCAATAACTCAACATGGTTGAATTGCCCTTCTTGTATTTCAGTTCAGTGTTGTAGTATTTAATACCAATTTGTATTTGAGTTTAGTGTGTAGTACTTAATTCCAATGAAATTAGTCTCTTTACATTTGGTATAGTACTTGGAATAATTATTTGGAACTCTATAAACTCCTTATATTTGATCACATATATATCACTATAAATGTTGCCCAAATAAATGATTAATATGCATGGTTAAAATTAGAAATGGGGTAGCTGTAAATATAGATATTATTTTGAAAGATAATGTTATAAAAATTAATAGAATTGAAGATAAAATTAGCTCTAAAGATTGTTGTCGATATTAAGATTTTTAATGTTATAAGTGCTTATGTTTTCCAAATAGGTCTAAATATGTGTTTAAAAGAAAATATCTGAAATGACCTATTAGAATTAATACAAAAAATTTCTTTTGAAAAAAGAATTTTTATGGGAGAAAATTTAAATGGACATGTCAGTAGAATGATAGAAAATTTTAGTAGTATGCATGGCGACTATGTTCTGGAATGACTAATAAAGAAGTTGGTGTCATATTGGATTTTATTTTAGTCTATGATTTTACAAGATGGTGGTGAGACCTGTAATGCTTTATGGTGTAAAATGTTAGCCTTATAAGAGAAGCATAAAATATAGTTAAGTGTTGCAGAGATGAGAATGTTTAGGAGGATGAGTGGTTTGACACTTAGAGACAAAATGTGAAATGAATATATCCGTGATAGGGTTGGTGTAGCTCCAGTGGCGGCTAATATTAGAGATAGTTGTTTTAGATGGTTTGATCACATTAGACGTCGACCATCTGATAATCTGGTTAGGAAAGTTGATGTTTTAGATTCGACTTATGTTAAAAAAGACAGAGGTAAACTTAAAAAGACTCAAACATATTCTATAAAAATAATCTTAATCTATTAGAATTAAATGAAAATATGACCTTAATAGGATGCAATGGAAAAAAGGATTTATGTAGCTGACCTCGCTTAATGGGATAAAGGCTTCTTGTTGTTGTATTATTTGTTATTGCTAATATTTTATTTAATAAAAAATTATAAGCTTAGTATCACTTATAAGAATGAGACTACTAAAACTCAAATTTGCTATTTTTTATGAGAAAATAGATAGCCGAGATTTTAAAGATAGCAAAATCATTTCAAGTGAAAATTTAAGTACACAACTTCAATTATTAGTTTTGTATTTTAAGATGAAGGGTTGAAAGATGAAAATTAAAATAAAATATTTTTATAAAATTAGATTGGAGCTCTTAAAAAGACAAATTTTTATATGAATAAATATCAAAATCTTAAAATTTAGTACGTTCATGAAGAAGTTAATACTTTATGGAATAAAGTAAGAAGTGTTATTAAGTAAATTGTAAAAGATGTGCTTGGAGAATGAAAAGGAAAAACTCTTATGAATAAAAATTGTTGGTGATGAAATAATAATGTGTTAGAAAAGATAAAAATAAAAAGTTTTGTTATAAGAATTAGTTTAGATGTAAACTCTTAGAGAATTGGAAAAAGGTAAGGCAGAGAGTCTAGAGAATAATTTGTGATGTTAAATTTTTTTTAATGATTTTTATAATAGATTAAATATTTAATATGGTGAAAAATATGTATAAACTAACCAAGCAAAGAGATAAGAAAATGTCAGATTTAGTTCAAATAAATTGTATTAAAGATGAAAGTAAAAAAAAAAATCATAGATAAAGATATTCAACATAGATGGGTGAGATATTTTAATAAATTTTTTAATGAAGATTGTAAATATACGATAAATTTTAATGATCTTTATATTATAAATAAAAATAAAGTTTTTTATTGTCACAATCGCATAAGTAAAATATTACTTGAGGGGGTTTAAAAAAATGAAGTATAGAAAAGTGATAGGACTTGATGATAATTCAATAGAAGTGAAAATATTTAAAAGATCCAAGAATTTTTTAGCTTATTAATTTTTATAACATTATTTTAGAAACTAATAAGATGACCAATGAATGGAGAAAAAGTCTATTAGTTTCTATTTTTAAGAATAAAAAGTATATACAATAGTGTATAAATTATAGAGGAATAAAGTTAATGTGTCATTCATTTAGTTATGGGGGAGAATAATTGACTATAGGCTGTGATGTGTACAAAATTTTCTCAAAATCGGTTTGAATTCATGCCAAGCAAGTCTACTATGGAAGTTGTACATTTATTGAGAGGTTTGATAGAAGTACATAGAGAGTAAGATTGATCTACATATGATTTTTGTTGATTTACAAGAAATTTATGATAAAGTTTGAAGATAAGTACTTTGGAGAGTCTTAGAAAAGAAATTTGTTGATATTTTTTATATTCAAGTCATTAAAGTATGTATACTAGAGTATTACTTGTGTTCGAACACAAGGAGGATTGACCAAATATTTTATTATTTAAGTTGGATTACATTAGAGATCTACTTTGTTTATATTTGTACAGTAGTTATATATGTTTTTATTGTACATTTACACGAGTATGTACTTTGGTGTATGCTTTTCACTGATGATATTCTTCCTGTGGATAAGACTACAGAGTTTAGGAAAAACATGATTTATTGAGGTCAGCTTTAGAACCTGAAATTTTTCGTTTGAGTAGATCTAAAATTGAATACATGAAATATAATTTTAGTAGTAGATCTAGTGATTGAGTCATTAAAAGAGTGTACTTTTTAGATATCTCAGGTCTAGCGTTCAAAGTGATGGTTATATAGATGAGGATGCTATTAGTAGAATTCAAGTTGGATGGTTGAAGTGGAGGAATGCATTGGGCCTCTTGTGTGATAAAAAGTACCACTTTGATTTGAACGAAAATTTTATAAGATGTTGGTGAGAACCGCAATGATTTTTGACACAGAATATTGGCTTGTAAAAAAAAGCACAAAATTAAGATAAGTGTTACTGAGATAAGAATGCCCGAGTGGATGAGTAGCTTTACACTTAGAGACAAAATGTGAAACAAATATATCTGTGAAAGGGTGTTGGAGGATCTCTAGTGACAAACATATTAGAGAGTGTCTAATCAAAAGATCAATCTTTGTATTAATTTTCAAGTAGCAAATTTGATTTAGGAGCATGAGAGATAAATTTATTTTGTTGAACTTCTTTTAACTTATTATGTTCTTAATATCTTATTTTACTTGATGTTTGTATTGCACATCTTTTTTTATGTTTTGATATTAATACATCACTTCTTACATCACTCTTTAATATTATTATAATACTGTTTTACTTCACATAATTTGTTAATTGTGAGGCTTATCTCAAAATTTTATTTGGATTACGCCTCATTTCATGGGCAGAAAATGACTCAATACCAAATTGTGCAATTTAAAATCCTACTATTTGACTTCAATAGAGAATGAAGTGATCAAAATATCTTCTGAAGTTCTTGAACCAAACACAAAGCAAACTGATGTCTTCAATGATACAATTAACCTTACATGACATTGCTTATAGAGCAATAAGCATACCCTAATGGAAGAGAGTGGCTGGACATAGCCTACATGACAAATTTTAAGCTACTAAATATACATTTAATGGATTTATGATCTGGAGGGGACCCTGCTACTACAATATAGGAAACAAAGTAGCATGAAATTAAAGTATAGAATGCATTACCTTTTATGTTAGGTTTTGCCATTGGCTTTTAAGGAAAGGTAGTAGTTTTCCTTGGATTATATTTTACATTGAAACATGAAAATGGGACTGGCTATGACTTTATATGGAAGAAGGTGGGATGGATCTTCATTTTAGTACATGTTGAGTTCTTTCCTTAGAGGTAACAGTCATATTCAAATACATCTTTCTGAAGCTTGTCTTAATTGATCTTGATCATCACATACTTATTATTTGAAGGAGCCAACCGAACATGCAAGTAGAGGATTTCAATCCAACTTTTCATTTGTGCCCACATGCTTGACCTTGTCATGAAATTGATCTTCGCGCATATGCTTGGTATTGATTCTTGTGCTATATCGATTTATTTGTGTATTGATTTGTGAATGTAAGAGGATAAATTGAGCTTCTTCTGATAAAGCTAGTTTATCGCTAAAGCAAAACGCACCACATGATTTTTCTCACTTAATTCTCATTACGACTAATCATGGCGATATGCTAATTCTAGTCTCAACTTAGTTATTCTACGGATGGTTGGTTAATATCATTGAAGAACTAAGCTCTGGCTGAATATTTCTCCGTCCATCATGAGAGTAGCATATACTAAGCTTCACATTACTGTTAATTTGGCACCATTCTGGGCTTGAATTAATACAAATACCTGTTTTTTTAGTGGTCTTAACAATGAGTCATGTGGAACGGCTACTTTTTACTTTGCTTTCACTAGCAGACTAGTACATCTAGAGGAAAGAGGTTTTGAGAATTTTGCCGGAAAATTGGATAATATGCTTTAGATGTTAAACAATTTCCATGTCAAATTATCCCCTTTGGTTTATCATTTAATTCCCCTTTGGTTTATCATTTAATTTGGCAGGATTTCTATTCTTCCGCTTTACATTTTTGTGGACTTCATGATACTTGTTCTTTCTCCTCTTCTACGTGAAGCAAAATCATTTTATATGGATCAAATAAGATCAAGCGGATCAGCCATACCCTCTTATTCTTTCTCTAATCATGTCTTTGATGCCCTTCCCAACTTTAGTTATCTGTAAGCTGTTGAATTACAAGTTATTCATCTTCTTTGTGCTAATTAAGCATAGACGTAAAACTCGGAAGATAATTACCAAGGAGGAGATCATTGTGGCATGGGATTAAGAAGAGAGTGGATGGCCCAATTTTTCCCCCCAGAAATATTTTTGCTTGTCAAAGAAGCCTTACTATCCTTTAGTTTTAAGTCATTGTAATCTGTTAAAACTGAACAGAAATGCTTGCTGTTGCTGACGTGCAAGTTTTTCATAATTTCTTTCAATTTGTGTAGTGCAACTGAGTTGTTTCCTAAAGGAATACCTTAGTTTAAGTTCTCAACATTTTAGGATAGGGGCATTTACATACATAGCACACAATTTATATGTATTTACATATCTCACATCTAAATTTTCATATTTATACACATATTGCACAAATGTTTTATACCACATCCAAAATAGCACTATTACCACATTTTAAAAGTTAAAATAGACCATTTCATGCATAGGCTTAAGACACTAAAGTGCTACGTATGTAAATATGAAAGTTTGGGTGTAAGATATGTAAACACATAAGAATTGTGTTTTACATTTGTAAATTTTCCTTCAGAATTTTTTAGAAAGGTTGTTATGTGCAGCTTTGCCTTGTATTCCAAGGAGAATATTGCTGCAATTTGAATTCTTGATCTCTTCTTGGTTACAATGGAAATAATCTTATCATTGCTTAGCTTGCCCTATATTTTAACTATTTGATTAGGATTGCTATTTAGATAATCTTACAAGAGTCATAAAAGCCTAAACTTTCCTTGTTGCATTGGCTTTTCAGTTAGATTTTTTTTGTGGTTGAATTTCCTTTTTTGGCTCTTGCTCTTCCATCAAATTTTTTTAATACAAGGCACATAAAATACATCGTTTTAAAAAAAACACCACCCATGTAAATGCAAGCTCTCTATTCCCTGACAAGGGTTATTTGAAATTGTATATCAATCAAGTCATAAAGAGAGGGTTTTTATGAAAACAAATACAATCGATTTCCTTTTGCAGCATCTGGTTCTGGACGGTGTAAAATTAACAATGGAGGCTGTTGGAATCAAACTAAAGATGGCACAACATACTCTGCCTGCATGGTATGTGAAATATGGATTTTTTTTCTTTCATTTAAACCTTGATCTGTGATGATTCAAATTCAAACTAAGAATGGATCATGTAGGAAGGAGCATCGAATGGATGCAAATGTCCAGCAGGCTTCAAGGGCGATGGTATTGAATCGTGTGACGGTATGGCGCTTAATATCTTTATTTTAAACTTGTGTTTTAATTTCAAATTTTTTTCATCCTTCAGAAAATTTGTAATTGCGGCATTCCCAGGACAAAAGTACAAAATTATTTGAAATAGATTTACCTACATACCACTCAGTTCCGATGTATTTACATGTCTAACAATAAGTTTCAATTATTTACATATATGCACCTTACCTGTGCATGAACTAGTTCATTTCCATTTTAACATAAAATACCATTTTAACAGTTAAAATAGTGGTATTTTTGATGTGATATGAAATATTTGGGTGGTATAAATGTAAAAAATAAAGTTTAGGTGTTAGGTACATAAATATATTAGGAATTGAGTGGTATGTATGCAAATGCCCCATTGTTTAAAATTTTTAATTTTATTATTTCATCTTTCTGCATATGCACAAGCTTTTTTTGTGCATTTTTTAGGCAAATGTGAGATACTTTTCAGCCAAATATATTTGTTTGTATGGTTTTGTTAGCCAAAAATAATCAATTGATTAATGCAAACATACTTTTTTTTTTCCTCCTATCTTATATTTGATTTTGTAAACATTTGTTTTAGATGTTGATGAATGCAAGGAAAGAACTGCTTGTCAATGTTCTGAATGCAAATGTAAGAATACATGGGGAAGCTATGAGTGCAGCTGCAGGGGTGATCTATTATATATGAGAGAGCATGACACCTGCATAAGTGAGTTCTCTTCATCCCTTTTTTATTGAGGCATTTACAGGAGCACTATCCAATTCTTATGTATTTATTTATCTAACACAAACTTTATTTTTTATTTTTTTACATTTTAACTTTCATACCACCCAAATCTTTCATATCATATAAAAAATATCCCTATTTTAACTTTTTAAAAAGTGAAATGAATGGTTTGAAGTTTAAATTTTGAAGTTTAAATACATAAGAAAATTTAGTGATACGTATGTAAATTTCTCTTTTTCTTTCATAATAATAGCAGATTGAGAGTGGGTTGATGACATTGTTCGTGAAACGTGAATTATGGTGTGAGCATTTACGTCTTACAAAATGGTGTTGAGAATTAGTTTAGTCCTAACTCAAATCACTAAGAAAAAAAAAATCAAAAGAAGATAAACACACCAAATATTACATTTAAGTTTTCCTAATTGAGAGTTACGTTATGTTATCATTTCGCTATAGATTTTATTGTGATAGTAGAGTTTTACAATTGAAACAAATACTAGGTACTCGGTATCTGTTGTGATTGAGTCTGTGATGGGCGTTTTGGCTCTTTCTGGACTTTAAATTTGAAGTATGAGACTGTAGGTGCAATATCAGTCGAATTTCATGTTTTCTAACCTTGTCATTGAATCATGTATGCCAAATGACGAGCTCATAATGTCATGCACATATTTTGCTTATCATCTTCACATACATGCTAATGTTTTACACTTCGTTTCTCTATCTACTTGACCATGTTTTTTATCTTCTACAAATGCTAAAATTATCCTCAAAATTCTTGCACATTTGGTTTGGTTTGTCTTTTTTATTTCCACACACTCAAATGCACGCACCCCACAGATGCAAGGCCTTGAACTCATGATCTCTTGGTTAAAAGATAGCTCTCAACCACTAGGCTAATGTGGCTTGTATAAAATGTAAATAATGATATTAGTAAAACCAAATGAAAACTTTGGTTTGGTTTGGTTTATTTGCTAACTTTTAGACAAATTTAGGGTTTGTTTGAGGTGGCTATGGCTTTTTGTAGAAGTCGTATCTAATACTTAAATTTTAGATTTTATATTTAAACCCCACAAAATTTCAATATCACATAAAAAATACCTTCGTGTTAAACTTTTATAAAGTGAAGTGCACATTCTCATGCATAATCAAGGTGTTTTATATATGTTAAATGTTAAAAGTGAAACTTAAAAAGTGTTAGATATGTAAATACATAGAAATTGAGTGGTATGTATGTAAATGTCCTCCCCTCTTTGAAAGTTTGCAGCAGCTTTCCTATACCTACTACTCCTTTCTATTTTTAACTCTTAGTAGTTTCTCATCACATAAATTTTTAAATAACAAGAAGAAAATGGTAGCTAAATGGATGTGTGACAACCTTCTTAAAAACAAATTTATGAGAAAATTACCCTAAACAGATTATGTAGACATCAATCTAAAAAGAAATTATTCAAAAGTCCATTTAAGCAAAGTTGAATACTATAGAGTTGTCGAAGAATTGAAATATAAGCCTAACAATCAAGGTTGTATAAAATTTATGCATTAACTTTGTAAAGTTTTTCCAGGTAAAAAACCTAGCACTGAGGTCGGCTGGAGCTTCCTATGGATTATCTTTCTTGGCCTGGCTCTTGCTGGTGTGGGAGCTTATGCTGTCTACAAGTACAGAATTCGGGTAAAGCCTTCTCTTTATACTTCTCATCTTCTAATCTATATTTTTATTATTTATTGGGGGTGTAATTGAGCCAAACCGACTCGTGTGCTAGCTCGGGTTTAACTTGAAAAGTGCCTCTTGAATTGAGCTCGATAAGCTCACAAGTCAAGCCAAAACTAGCCCGGACTTGAAGCCAACTCTTTTAAAAAAAATATTAACATAAAATATACTTAACATATTAAAATTCAAAAATTTATATTTAAATAATTAAAAATGCTTAAAAGCCATATTTTATATTTTGTCTGAAATAATTTTTTATTATTTATTTCTATCATGTTTATTTGAATTAATATGTTTTTTTCTCTTTGGTAGCTAATAATCTGGCTCAAAATTATAAAATTAAGCTTTAGTTTGAGCCCACACTCAATTATTTTACGAAGATCAAGGATAAGCAATAGTAGCTAGAGCTTGACCCGACCCGACACAACCCATTTTCACCCCTAATATTTATAACATCAAATATTCAACCATAAATTGATATACGTGCACTCCAACCCAGATCTAATTTTTCAATATTCGTCGCATCTTCAGGGCTACATGGACTCGGAGATTCGAGCAATCATGGCTCAGTACATGCCACTGGAAAACCAACCTGAAGGTCTCAATCATGTCTCTCATGCCAACATTTAGAGATGAGTTGGTGAACTCAGAATACAATAGGGAAGACTTTCTGCAACATTTTCACCAAAAGTTGTTCTGTGACTAGTTTGCGCCTCGAAAGATTCTGCAGCTTCTAATGTAAAGTGGATTTATGCACAACTATTACTTCACTGTAGATTAATTATGATGTAGATTTTTAATATGGCTTTATTTTTTAGGGCATCAAATGAATAATTACAGAAACGAGCTATCTTTCACACAATTGTTTTCTGTCAATTTATTTGGGCTTTTGGCTGTTGCATTTTAAGAATTTTTACTGTACCTAAGTTCTAATGATTTGATCTTGGAAGTCATGTATGATGTATTTGAGTTAAATCTTTTTATGTAATTTTAATTTATGTATAGTAGTCAGATTTTCTGTTGGCAAAATTTTCATGTATTTTTGGAAATTTTGGTGACGAGCATAAACATTTGGCAGCAGACCCACTGTCATACAAATTTTGTTTGGATGAGTTGATGGATGACTGTGATCAGAGAGCATACGTAGCTTTGCGTACGCTCTCCGTATATAATAATTCATCCATTGTATGGAACTTATCCAATATGATTACATGCAGCGACTCAAACACTTAGTTTTTTTACATTAACAAAACTCAGTTCTTTGATATCACATTAAAAAAATACCAGTAGTTTCAACTGTAAAAAGGGAAGGAAATTTTTCACAACGGCCTCCGGATTCTTATTTATTAACATATTAACCAACTAAATTTTAATTTTTACCTAAAGCCCACCAAACCTATGCAAAAACAACATAGGAAACGAGTGGCATGTAGATAAAAATTGAATTTTTAGTGGTTGATATCTTAATGCATAGAAATTGGTTATGTAAAGACCCTAAAAACGAAATACAACAACTTCCCATGAATAGGTAGGAGAATTGGGAAAGAAGGAATTGAGTTCTATCATGCAAATCTGTCAATATATAATTTTAGTATGAGTGGGTTTTGTAGCACATTTGACATTTAGATAAATTAAACATACCAAAAGAAAATTGAAGTCAGCATCAATGAATTCTAACGAGGCATAAACCTTGGATGATAAGCTCATGTGCTTGGTCTTACTTAACCGTCAACAAACAAAAGAAAACTTTCATGTTCAAGCTTAGCTCAGATGCAACTCATTTCTTTTTGGGCGATCGAAGATCGTGCTAAGCGACATAAGAAGACATGACATAACAAAATAAGACTTGAACTTTTGTATTTTTAATGATGGCTATCATAAAATGTTTTTAGATTAAATTTATATCAACGCGAAAAGTCAAAGTCCAACACAATTTTATCAATTTGAGTTACCATGTTGAATAATATCTAATAATGCTTCAGCATTCAAAAGAAGAAAGAAAAATAAATTTATTGAAAGCATGGTATATATTAAATTTGCTCTAGCATATAATACTCAAGAGCTAATATATGGGATGAATCCATCAGTAAGATATCAATTCAATTTTTAAGGAAACTTTAATCTTCACTAAATCATATCTAATAATGATTCAGCCTTCAAAAACAGTAAGGCCAATAAATTTAATGAAAATCTAGTATATATTAAATATACTCTACATATAACATTCAAGAGCTAATATATAAAATGCTGCCTTTAGTATGATTTTAGTTTAATTTTTAAGGAGATTATGGATTAAAATAAGCATTCATGGCACTAGAAGTTTGATAAAGTAAATGTATAAGGTATGGACTTCATAGAAGTGAAGCCAATTTGAAAAGAGAGTAAAGCAATAGAAGCTTTGCTTCCAGGCACAAGCAAGCAAAAGGCATAAAACATTTATTTATGAGAATAGACATGCCAAAGTTTTCATTTGTAACACTGGCCTAATGCTATGCCAAATAGCATCCAACACACTAAGCCTATCAATTCTATAAGTACCAAAATTGAAAGCATTATAAGGACATACCATGAATAATAAGCCTAGATCTCCCTGGCTCATGCATACAACAGAAAAAGTTGATGCACAAGATCATTATTAACAGTTACAAATCAACAAAAATACTTTTGTTTAGGTTAATATCACTATAGGAGAAGCCAATATTAGTGTTTGGTATTTGCGTCTGAATTTTCCGACACAAATATTAGTGTCGGATTTGCGGTGTTAGGCGAAAAATAATAAATTGTATAACTGCGTCAGATTTTGTGTTCAATTTGGGTCCGAAAAATCAATGAAAAAAAAATACTCTGAAACTTTGTTTAGAGTAGCAACGGTTTTTGCATTGTATTTGTGTCATACTAAGCGATGCAAAATCATTATTTGTCAGCATCGAACTAAGTGAGAAACAAATCCGATGAAAATCCGACGCAAATGACTTATGTTTCTTATCCTGTGTGTCTAAATTTTATTTCTTTCCTCGCTGCGTTCTGTCGTCTTCCCGTCTGCTTGAATCCCTCCCTCTCCACTTTCCCTCTCCCCTTACCCTCTCCCTGACAACTTAGCTCAAAACCATGCATATCACAATACAGTCGCCATTTGATCTTAGCTAGCTTAGTTGGGAAGTTAACGCGGTACTCGGCTTATAGCGACCACCGAAACTCCCGTAGTTCTCATCTTTCCACTATATTCCAATCAACAAACATTTAAGAAGGTAATTCCATTTGCGCCTTTAAATCTTTGTCATTTATATTTTTTTTAGCTATGGTAATGTTGTATGGATGTAAAAGTTGAAGTTTAGGTGTTAGGTATGTGTTATGTATGTAAAAGTTGAAGTTTAGGTTCTAGGATTGTTTATACATGAGACTTGAGTGGTATGTATGAATATCTTCATAAAAAATGAAGCTTAGGTGTTAGCTATGTATATACATAAGTATTGAGTGGTATGTATGAAATCTTTATAAAAGTTGAAGCGTAGGGGTAGTCCGACCACCTTTCCTATTTTTTTCTGAGATAAGTCACTAACCCATCGACACTGACCTCTTTTATATATTTTGGAGTGCTTTTACTTTCTGTTATGTGTTTCGCTTCTTTTTCGTTTATATAGGATGTCACAAAAGTTATACATTAGGCTCTTCTAAGGACCTTAAATTATAAATTTTTTATATAAAAATATCAATAAGAGATTCAAGACTAATTATTACTTAAGATTAAAAGATTCAGGATTTTTAGAGCCTACTTTTACTTTTCTGCATGGCCTTTGGACCAATTTTAAAATGGGTTACATAACATGGATATCACCTAATTCATTATAATAGGGCTTCCACAATATTTAAGAATTGCTATAGATAATTACATCATTTGCATGTCCCAGGAAAAGCCCCCGTGCTTCTCCAACTTGAGTGGCCTAGCATAGATTTCTACTTGGGTGCTTATCTAGTATGATTAGGTCGTTAGAAGGCTCTCCGACCCAAATGGGGTGTAAGTCATTTTGTTTGGAGTGTTTCCAGCTTTGTAGCTAAACCTCACTTTCTCCTCTTTTTCAATGGTATCGTTGGCACTTTGGCAGGAATATGTCCCTCCTCTCGGAGCTCTACCTAACAGTCATAGGATAGAGTTTTGTTCCTTTGATCTTAGGGCTACCGAGGTCCTCGCGAACGACGCAATTTACGGATTGCTGACCAGGAATCTCTAGACGTGTTTTGTCGACTAGCTTCACTATCAGGTAGACTTAGGGGCCTAAAGACTTTGGATGACGAGTCTGTGATACCCTGATCCCACTACCTCTACCTTATAAGAATTATTCCTCCCTTTCTTTGACTACCCCTATTGAGCTTTGTCACTTCTTCTGCCTTCATTAACATCTTCTTAACGGGTTGATTGTCAATGAGCTGTTTACCATTTGAGATACGACTATTTGTCTTCAATCCTTATGGCTCGAATGTGCTTTAACGCATCTGGATTCCCCCATCATGATGATTCGGCTATTTCATAGGCTTTGTATGTCGATGAGTCTGTTACCCATGTAGGGACGCAAGAGACCCACTCACCTCCCTGTGGTTTATTGGGAGCTTTGAAAGCATCAAAGCATTCTTCTGTGAGATAACCATCCTTTAATATCGCTGTGCTAGTTGTCACTTCTAATTTAAGCAAAACCCCTTTGGGTCAAGATTATTCTTGGAAAACCCTCAAGACGTAACTAATCAAGTGGGATACGTCCTATTGAGACCACTCTAAACATCAAAATAGGCAAACTCACTTGAATATCTAGTTGTGGATAGTCTACGTAGGTATTCTTTCATGGATATCGGTCTAAGGTGCCTCCTCCCAATTTTGTTTGGGCGGACATACTTGACCTATCATTGCGAGGTTTGTCATACGTAGGTTCACAACATTCTTTCTCTTGTTTTTTTATTTGTCCATTTTTTTCTATTTTTCTTTTTTTCTGATCATTCACATGATATGAAAGAGAGACTTATTCTAAAAAGAGAAGTGTAAAATGATGGACAAACTAACGACTTTTTTAAACAAAAGAGAAAGAAAGGAATGAAAACACAAATTTTATCGAAAAGTTGCCATATCAAAATACTTTATTTATGACACATTTTCAAGATGATTCTGATACAGTAGTTAATATAATCATATGACTGAGATAAAATCTCTTTTCAAAGAGATTGATATATCAAAGAATTTTGAAGTCAGATTTGATGAACATAATGCTGTTAATGTTGAAAGCAAGGGGAGTATTGCTATTAAAACAAATGGCGATAAAGTAAAGTTCTTACATGATATTCTTTATGTTCCAAAGCTTGTACACAATTTACTAAGTATTGGGTAATTGATTGAGAGTGAGTACAAAGTTTAATTTGATAAAAAATTATTGTATCATTGAAGACAAGAAAAATCGGCAACAAATTGCAAAAAATCATATGACGCTAAACAAGATTTTTCCTCTTAAAATCTCTACAGTTCAAGAGAAGGTTTTGATGGTTAAAAGGAAATCTAATGTGAAACTATGAAATTTTCATTATATATGGGAGAATTTAAACTATTGCAGTAAAAGAGGATGGTTTATGGTTTTCCTACAATTTACTGCAATGGAATTTGTGAAACTTGTGTTATGGAAAAATAATCTAGAAAGCCTTTTCCATATGAAAAATCATGGAGAGCAAAAAGTTGTTTGTAGTTAATTTTCTATCAATTTATGTGGTCAAATGAATACAACATCATATGGAGGAAGCAATTATTTTCTTCTATTTGTGGATGATTATAATAGAATGGACTGGGTGTATTTTTTGTACATAAAGCAAATTTTTTTGAAAATTTTATACACTTTAAGGCATTGGTATAAAATTAAAGTGATAAGTATATTAAGAGTCTACATACTAATAGAGGTTGAGAGTTTACATCAGATGAGTTTGACAAAAATTGTGATAAGCATGAAATTTCCAGGCAATTAACTGCTCCCTACACAACATAACAAAATGGAGTTGTAGAAGAAAGATTAAAACATTGTCCGAGGTGGCAAGAAATATGTTAAAGTTGAAGAATTTACAAAATGTATTTTGGGTTGAAATTGTTGCAACTGTCATATATATTTTAAATATATCTCCAACAATGGTTGTTCAAAATATTAAATCTCATGAAGCATGGCATGTTAGAAAACATGTTTAGTCATTTGAAGGTATTTGAAAGCGTGACATATGTGATTAGGGATGGTTAAAACAGAAGTAAATTGAACAACATAAGTGAATTTTTTAGTTATAGTATTCTGTCAAAGACATATAGACTATTTGATCCAAAGTTTGAGAAGATTGTTATCAGCAGAGATCTAATTTTTTATGAAAATACTGCTTAGGATTGAAGTAAATCTTCTCTTATTTCTAATAATTAAGAAATCAGTGTTGATTCATCACTTAGCCCATCACCATCAAGTCCAAGATCAGTAGATTTCGATGGAAGACAAACTAAGAGATAAGATCTTTACAAGCACTATATGATTGTACATTTTCCTTATGGTTTCATAACCATCAAATTATTAAAATGATTGTGGATAGGAAGAATCAGAGAATGAAACTATTGAGAAAAATGATACTTGGAAACTTGTTGATATAACACAGGGAAAAGTCCAATTGTTGTGAAATGGATTTAAAAAGTGAAACACAATGTTGAGGGAAATGTAAAAAGACACAAAGCAAGATTTGATGCCAAGGGTTCTGCACAATAATATGTTACTAATTTTTATGAAACTTTCTATTATGTTGCTAGATTTTAGACGTTTAGATTATTATTTGCATTAGTTTCACAAATGAAGTGGAAAGTTTTGAAGTTGGATGTTAAATCTTTAATTTTGAATGATACTTTGGAAAAAGATGTATTTTTATATCAACCATAAGGTTTCATTATTAAAGGCAAAGAAGAGAAAGTTTACAAACTAAAAAGGAGCACTTTATGGCCGTAAACAAACAAAAAGAGCATGGTTTTGGAGGCTTGATTCATACTTTCAAAAGAAAGGATTTCATATAATTGAAAGTGAACCCATTTTGTATGTGCTGACTCAATGTACTGATATTCTTATTTTTTGTGTTTATATTAATGATACAATCTACTTCAATCATCCAAAATTTTGATTGAAATGTTCAAGGCTGATATGATGGAAGAATTTGGTATGCCTGATTTGAGTTTGGTGCACTGTTTTTTGGGCTTACAAATTATTCAAGCAGATTATGAGACTTTTATATCTAAAAAAGGGTTTGCATTAGAGTTATTAAACAAGTTTATTATGCTGACTTCAAGATCTCATCAACATCCATGAATACAAATGAACAACTTGCCCAAAATGATGGTACAACCAAGACAAAAGAAAAAAACATATAGTGGAATTGTGGGTTGTCTTATGTTCTAACTCATACCAGGCCTAATACTATGTACTTAGTCAATCTTATTTCAAGATTTATGCATAATTCTCTATACATCATCTTAAAGCAGTCAAACACATTCTTCGCTATATTTGGAAGACAACTAAATTATGAGATTTGGTACAAACTTTTTCTAATTTTAATTTAATTAGTTTTCCTGACAGTGAATGAGCATTTTCTAAAGATGATTGAAAAAATACAAGTGAATGTATTTTTTAGCGTTGAATTTGGAACAGTATCTTGGAGCACAAAGAAGCGAATGAACTACTACATTATCATCTTAAAAAACGACTACATCAGCAACATGTCAAGCAATTTGGATGAGAAGATACAAAGTTATTTTATGATAATAAATCTACAATATCTATGACAAAAATATCCAATATTTCATGGTAGATCAAAACACATAGAACTTCCACACCATTTTGGGCTAGAAGTTGTTGCCAACACAACTATTACAATCAAAGATTGTTTCATAAAAGAACAAATTGCTTATGGATTCACAAAAGCTCTCAATTTACAAAAAGTGTAGTATTTTTGCATTAAGGGATTATGCTAGTTGTTAATGTAAAATATTTTAATATTCATATTACTTTAAATATATGTGAAAGTTTGCTTTGTGAAAAGCTAAGAAAGAAAAAAGAAAATGATAATATACATAGTTTTTTTTTATGTGATGTAAAACTCTCCATTTGACTCTTTGCTTTCCAACTATAGAGTGAGAGGATCCTACAACGAAGACGAAGATGGAGAAAGGGAGGATGAAAGGAAAATTAGGGTTTCAGCGGGCAAATATTGCCCGAACGCCTCCCGCATTGCCTTCCGGCGGCAGGATGATCTTGGAGAACAGTTCGTCAACCCGTGCTTCGGATCCCAAATTCGAATCACGGGAATCTTTGAATTCCTCAAACGTGGTTGGAACGTGCCCAGACATGTGCCCAGGTACTCTAACTTCTATTATTCAGAGCAGGATCCGATTTGGTTTCTTTCTAGTTTTCTGAGCATGCGACATGAATATATGTTGCTTTTTCATATTATTGCTTTTCCTCAGCTATCCTTACAAATGGATAGATTCTTTTTATTGTAAAGCAAAGTGAGGCTGAGAAGTCTTATAATCTAGCCTTACAGTACAAATGAGCTCTCTACAGATTACTCTTACAGAACCATTAACCGCCTGAAATGAAAAAAAAAACTTGATTTCGTGGTTTCCAAAACAGACTTTATGATTTTGTTATACACTGCGTGATGTTTTGCATACATGATTCAGATTAATCCGTTATCTATAATTGTTCAGCTAAGGAAAGGGCCCAGCGTGAAAGGCTTAGAGACTTGGCAGTGTTTGAGAGGCTTAATGGAAATCCTGGAAAAACATCTTCAAGCCTTGCCATAAAAAAGGTGGATTTCTTATTGTTGTGAATTTCTGATTGAGCGTCAATTTTTTTATTCATTAAGCACAGAAATTTCTGTCAGTCTGAGCAACTCAAATTCAGAGTGCTTTTTTTCAGTTTAAATCTCCAGAACTGTATCTCTTTATGCTTCAGAGGCTTACTTGTTTACTTATGAATGAGTTCTGGTGTAAATCAAGAGTTCATCATGTGAAAAGTAAAAACTCACTCTATATTGAATCAGAAAAGACTTGACATTCCAGAAGATTCTGCCACTTGAATCTATTTTATCAAATATTCCGTTTATCTTGCTATCCTTGCCTCCTTATAGAGTGCACATCATGCCCAATTTATTCTATCAGTCTTTGTTATGAACCTAGAATATCTAGATTCCTCTCATCTCAGATAAGAGTGAATTTCCATTCTTCACCACGGGCATTTATGTTGGCAGTGAAAGCCTGCTTATGCTTTTTAACGGTACGATGCATATTTCCCATAATGTTCATTGTAAAAAGTAGAAATTCACTTAATATTTTAGTGAATAAAAAAAATGAGTTTCCAAGCAAGGAGGCGAAGATTCAAGTATATCAGGCTTCAAGTTAGAAATTTTTAATGATGTCCCTTGGTGTTCCTCTCTTTTTGGGATGGATCATTTGCCACTTGTTGGCCTAATGAAGTTATTTAATTTTTGGTTCTATTTTCATCTAATAGTATTATGTGATTGCTTGGTGTTGTACTCTTTTCAGTGACTGGTGATAAAATTTATATTCCTTTTAAAAGCTGACATCTTTACTAATAAACATTTAATCCATGCATCATAATCATTAACTTGTAACTCCTTTAAGTGCCCGTGATATTAACTGATTGTCCTATTCCATATTACTTTCAAGGACTTTGTTCGTCTTAACTGCCCACTTCTAAATTTAAATTCATTTCATTTGTTTGAATAGCATATAATGAATTAGTATCTGTTTCATAGATATTTGCATGGGTTTTATAGTTAATGGCTAATATAAATTAATTCTTAACCTTCTGTTGGCTTCACTAAAATGGTACAAGTAGGTGCAAACTCTGATATAACTTGCTATTTCATTCCCTTGCTCTACATGCTACTATCCTTCTTCGTGCTTACCTAAAAAAAGAGAGAACACTCAAATGAGGGCATAAGAAAAAGCTGCTTCATATAAGGCATATTTGATATTTGTGGCATTTACATACGCAGAACACAATTCTTATGTATTTGCATATCTCACACCTAAACTTTCATATCCCTGTTGTTCTATCGAGTTTTGAATATACTTGATGTATTTATGATAGATACTATAGGTATTTTGTCATCATCATCTCTAGTAATTTCTGTCAGTAGCTCTTCATATCATCCTGTACTTTCTGACCCTTCAGGCTGCACTAGTTTTGCAGGACTTTGTCAAGCAATGAAGTTCATTCATCAGATCTAAGACCTCCTTTAGTATTGCGGAACACACTAAAATATCTTCTGAACTTGTTGGATTCATTAGAGTATCCATTTGAAGTTGTGCATGATTTCGTATTTGATAGGACGAGGTCTATTCGGCAAGATTTGAGCATGCAAAACATCATCAATGAAGATGCGATTGAAATGTACGAGGACATGGTATTATTTTTTTCTCGGAAGATTTACGTACACACCTCTCAATTCTTATGTCTTTACATATCTAACACCTAAACTTCAATTTTGAAATACATGCTACCTTACCTATGCATGAAAAGGTGTATTTCACTTTTTTAAAGTTAAAATGATGGTATTTCTTATGTGATATGGATGATATGGGTGGCATAAATGTGGGTGTTAGATTTGTAAATGCGTAGGCATCATGTGGTATGCATGTAAATGCCTCTTTTTACTTTTGCATGTTTCCTCATACATGCTTGTAAACTTACATGGTTCATATCTGTAACTGGATATGAAGAAATGCTTTATGGACTAAAACGTTGTGTGTCAATGCATGGTTGCCAAAAAATAATATGTGGCCCACCCAAATTTTTATCATTATCATATTTGAGAACTGAACTTTCTGGCTGAGTCTAGTATTCTTCAATATCTTAGCTTTTTCAGTGCCATCAAACTTTGTTTAATCCTAATTGTGAATTTTTTACTTATCATGCTACGTGTTAAGTTTCAGTTATCATTAAAAATGTCTTATATAAGGTTAAAAGGTACATTCACACTGCCCATAAAAAGAGGGTCAATATATTTATTTATTTTTGTCCCAGCCATAGAAGAGTTTGAAATTTGTGGAAAGTGAAACTATTTCGCCATGAACTTCGACTTTGCTTGATATATGATAAGGTTACATTATTAGAATTTTGATTTGTTTTGAGAATGAAACTAGGAAACTATTCAAATTGAATAATGCTAGAATAGAACCATGGTGAATCTTATTGATGTAAATAGTGGTATAAATACCTATTACAGGATCTATTAGTAAGGAAAAAAATAAAAAACATGATACAGTAGAAAAGGAAAAAAATTATAAAGAATTCAAGCTAGTAACTCAGAATAAATAGGAATTAATAATTGCTAAAACTAACAATCAATAAATGTTTTAAAACTTCCCCTTAAGTTAAATCATAGATGTAAGTCATGTTCAACTTGGATTTGAAATCGTCGAATAGTGGCCGAGGAATGTTCTTTGTGAGAATATCTGTCAGCTGACCACTAGATAACGCAGTAGCAATATAATAAGATATTCAGTGGACTGAGATAAACTGCAACTATTGGGTGGAGTTTTTCTTTTGTGTGTTTTTCTCTTTGAAGAAGTAGAGCCCTTCAACCCGCTTAGCAATTTTAATCATCCTCCCTAGACAACGATCCTGAAATACACATATCAAATTTTTAAATTTTGGGATTTAAATTAGAGAAGATCTGATTGTTAGATAAACTCAATCTCAAGACAGTTAAAGGGGTACGGAAGTTTTAAATTTTTTAGGGAATTCTATTGATAAGATAAATGACGATAAAAATGTTATCGTTCTAGAAATGTTTTGGGACATTAGAATGAAACATAATGGAACGAATAACATCAAAGAGATATTGGTCTTTTCTCTTGACTGTCCTATTTTGTTGAGAAGTGTCAGTATATGAGTTATGATGGAGGATGCCCTTACTTACCAAGAATTCTCTTAATATAGAGTTAAAAAATTCACGACCATTTTGAGTCTGAAGAGCTTGATTAAGAGTTTTGAATTGGGTCAAAATGAAGGTGTGGAAGTTTCTGAAACTGATAGTAACTTCAGGTTTATCTTTTAAAATATAGACCCATGTCATCCGAGTTTGGTCATCAATCAAAGGAAACACAATTTATTGGTATATCTGAGAGTGCAAGAGGGTCTCCATAAGTCACTATGCATAAGTGAAAAATGAGCAAAATGTGTGTAATTGTGGGGTGGATAAGGAACACGATGATGTTTAGCTAACTGACGTGTTTCACATTTGAAATTAAAAGGATTTTTATTAGTAAACATCAATGTATATATTTAGTTTAGATACGGGAAATTAGAATGACCCAAACTACAATGTAACAACATAATAGGACATTTAATGGACTGAGATAAATTGTAACTACTGGGTTGAATGTCCTCGTTCTCCATACTTTTCTCTTGGAAGAAGTAGAACTTGTCAATTTGCTTAGCAGTTCCAATCATCTTCCCTGAACAACGTTCCTAAAAGACAGACATCAGAAGAAAAATGAGCGATACAATCAATAACATGTGTCAGCTTACTGATAGATAAATGATTACACCTTAGCGGAGATACATATAACCCAGATTCCGGAGTTAAGACCGGTTGTTAAAACAATGCACTTTACTAGCAAAAGGACTTTGAGACCCGTCAGCAATTTTAACAATATCTTTCCCTGAGAATGGATAGTATGTCAAGAAGGCTTGAGAGCGTCCAATCATGTGGCTCGTGGTACCTGAATCAGTGATTCATAGAGTAGAAGGGGCAAAAGAAGTGAGTGTGATGAGATTGATGTCTCGACGAACGTGGGAGGCCGATAGGCCGAAAGAGAGCCGACTAATCCAAGTATCTTGATTAAGTGCTCCATTTGACTTATAAGAGCATTGGAGGGTTCCAAATTGTTCTGTGTAGAGGTCGTTGTACTATATTGGATTTAGAATCTGTAGCGAGACCGTTGGCAGAGAAAGCTTTCGCCGAAGGTTTGGATACAGGTTTCGTGTGAAGCTTCCAACATTTATCACGAGTGTGGCTGGGTTTATGACAGTAATCACAAGTGGGGTGACGAGCTCAGGGTTGAGCGCTATTAGAGACCAAGGCGTATACTCTGACAGAAGGAGTGGAAGCACCAAGCATTATAAGTCTTCGGCTCTCTTCACGATGAATCTCAGTGAAAGCAGCACAAGTATAAAGAAGAGGATCTCGGCCAAAGATACAACCTCGGACTTCGTCAAGATCTTTGTTGAGGTCTGTCAGAAATTGGAACATACAGTTCTTTCCTACAATTTTTTTGGAAGAAAGATAGGTCGGTCGGTGATTCCCAAACGTAGTCATAATACAGGTTTCATTCCATTCATGATGCAACTAGCTCGATCATTGTTTTGCCTCATGGATTTTCTTAGATACCTCATAGAATTGGTTGGAATTCCCTACATCTGAGTTGATATCACATGCTGTCGTCCAGAGGGCACTAAAGAGAGGAAAGAACATATATGATTGACCAATCAAAGTCTTTACGGAATTGATCAACCACGACAGGAACATAGAACTCTCCACTTCCTAAGCTTTATATGTTGGGTCAGTCTTTGGAGGTTCACGAATCACACCAGTGAGTTGATTGAATTTCACAGTACCTTTGATGAACAAGGTCACATATTGGGTCCATTGGAGAAAGTTACTGTTGTTTAATTTATGGGTTGCAATCAAGAAGTTCATGTTGTTTTCCTGTTCTTCGGTCTACAGAGGAACGAAGTTTGGAGATGATCCTCCAGTGGAATCAAGAACATCGTTTGATGACCACTGTGTTGGAGGAGTCCGTCGTTACTCCGATTGAGCCAAACGAGATGTTAGGTTGTCGAGACATCGTAAAGTTCTGACTGCTGGAGGAATATGACCTCTAGAAGGTTCCTGCAGCACCTGGTCGGCTGGAAGAAGGTTCTAGGAGGGGCTCCGACAAACCTAGAGGGAGGTCGGTCAGTTAGGTTGTGTTTCCAACGGTTAGAAGGTGCCCCGGGTGATCAGAACAGAGGTTTTGGTTGGTCATCGGTCAGTTGGGAGGTGATCTGGCGGCTGGGGAATCAAGGGTGACAAGATCTGGGCGGTTCGTGCAGACCTTGAAGCAGACGGGCCTGACTCTGGCCTAGCTGGCTTAGGAGAAGGGACAACGACAAGATCTGGGTAGCTCTGACAGACCCTGAAGCAGCGGGCCTGAAGCGGGCGTAGCCGGCTGAGAGGGGATGGTGGAACCACCAGGGGCTCCGACAAATTAAAGGGATCTAGACTAGCTAGTCAGCGGCATGGAGAGGCCCGAAGACAGCTAAATTAGGACCATGGCTCTGATACCATGTTCAAATAGAATCATGGTGGATCTTATTGATGCAAAGAGCGGTATGAGTACCCATTACAAGATCTATTAGTAAGAAAAGAAATAAAAGCAGGATACAGAGAAGGAAAAAAATAATAAAGAGGGGTATGATACCATGTTCGAATAGAACCATGGTGGGTCTTATTAATGCAAAGAGGGATATGAATACCCATTATAGGATCTATTAGTAAGGAAAGAAATAAAACAAGGATACAAAAAAGGAAAAAAATAATAAAGAATCCAAGCTAATAACTCGGAATAAACTAGAATTAATAATGACTAAAACTAGCCATTAATAAATATTCTAATAAATTGTTACTTCTTTCGAGTGATTCATGGTATCGTGGCTGTTAAATTTTCTCTAAACTATTTTTATTTTCTTCATTTTTAACCTTTTAGAGGCCATGTTGAGTGTTATGCGTTTCAGCTTTAGTTTCTTCCTTTCGTTATTCATATCATCTTCTAAACATTTAGGGCTTATTTGGGATCATTTTTTTTCTTTGGTTTTTAAAAACATGTTTGTGTAATGTGTTTTAATATATTTTATTCTGTATTTCTATAAATAAATAAATATATTTTTTAAAATACTCAAAATAAATTTTAGTTGCTTGATTATTTAAAAAACAATCATATTATAATCAAATATATCAAATATGTTTTGTTTGTTTCAAATCAAAACATAACATGAGAGAGAGAGAGAGAGAATAAAAATAAAAGTGATCCCAAATGACCCCTTGACCTTTACTTTTTGGGATGCTTAAAGAAAATTTGGCTTGATGCATTACGATTCTTGAAATTTGTTGAAAGCACAGGAAGCCCTGGAGGAAATTTTTATATCCCACCACAATTAAAAATATATTATGATCTCTTTATTTCCGTATTCAGAACTTGCCGTAATATAGTTTTAATTGAAGACTCTGACTGAAATGACTCGTTAAACTACTATAATATTTACTACATCTATGATGTATCTGCAGGTCAAATTTCATATTATATCCCACCAGAAGCTTGCAAGGCTTCGCAGTGGACGAGATGGTTCTTCCTCCTTGCATTATCTGAACTTGGAGCAGCTTACAAAATGCCTTCTGTCACTTTATGAAGTTTATGATATTAATAGAAGGCTACAATTCACAAACAAGCACGAAAGTGAATTTTATTCATTTTATCTACTCCTCCATCTTGGTTGTAAGATCCCAATAATGGTTAATCTCTGGCTTGACAAATTCTGCTGTGAAGAAAACTTTCATGATACCTTTATGATTTATTTCAGGAAGATCTGCTTACATACCACTCAATTTCTATCTATTTACATGTCTAACACCTAAAAACTTCATCTTTGGTATATATGGCACGCTAAATATTCATGAAAAGGTGCATTTCACTTTTTAGAAGTTAAAAAAGTGGTATTTTTAATGTGATTTGAAAGATTTGAGTGGTATAAATGTAAAAGGCAAAGCTTAGGTGTTGGATTTGTAGATGCATAGATTTTTAATGTAATGGTTAGTCTCTGGCTTACAAATTCTGCTGCGAAGAAAAGTTTCATGGTTCCTTTATGATTGATTTCAGGAAGATTTACATACATACGACTCAATTTCTATCTATTTACACATCTAACACCTAAAAAATCCAATTTTTACATATATGCCACCCTACCTATACATGAAAAGGTGTATTTCACTTTTAAAATGTTAAATTAGTGGTATTTGTAATGCGATTGGAAAGATTTGTGTGGTATAAATGTAAAAAAGCAAAGTTTAGATGTTGGATTTGTAGATACATAGGATTTGGGTGGTATGTATGTAAATGCCCCTTGATTTTATTAATTGAATGTCTGGTATTAGCAGCCCCTTGATTTTATTAATTGAATATCTGGTATTAGCAACCACTTGATTTTATTAATTGAATGTCTGATATTAGCTACCACAATTATGTGCAGAAGGAGTCTCTTTCATTGTGGTTTTGCCGTCTACCTTCTCCGATTCTGCGGTCAAAAGAAATGTGTTTTGCAAGGACTCTATTCAGGTTCTTCTTAGTGCATTTATATAATATTGGGCTACTGCAGTGAGATTTGGATTAAGTTTTTCTACATCATGAAACTTTGATTCAATATTTAAGTTAGATCATAATGCAAATCTAAATAACAACTTGTCATCATCATCATCATTGTGCTTATTACAATAATTTTTTGTGCAGTCTTTCGGAATCTTGTTTTAATCTTCATGCTCAATGTTGCATGTGACTTTTACTCTTACTTTATACAGATCTTTTAGGGGCATTTACATACATAGCATACTACTTTTATGTAATTACATATGTTACACCTAAACTTTCATTTTTTACACACATAGTTATCAAATCTTTCTTATCACATAAAAAATAGCACTATTTATACAGATTTTTTTTGGGCATTTACATACATAGCACACTACTGTTATGTATTTACATATCTTACACCTAAGCTTTCATTTTTTAAACACAACACTCAAATCTTTCACATCACATAAAAAATAGCACTATTACCACTTTTTAGAAGTGAAACCCACCTTTTCAAGCATAGGCTTAAGGCACCAAAGTGCTATGTATATAAATATGAAAGGTGTGAGATATATAAATACATAAGAATTGTGTGCTGTGTACGTAAATATCCCAATTTTTTTTGCAAAGCTTGTAGCCATTTTACTTTTGAAGTCTTGTTCTTCATGTTCCTTTCACAGTAATTATATTTTCTTAACCTTTTGAAAAATAAATAAATATTTGAAATTCGCCACAAATTTTATATGCATCACTCCTTCAATCTCTCTATGTTTATTGTTTCGATCTCCTTTTTTTATCTTAGTTTTTATCACCCACTCATGTTAATCATTTATGCAACAATTAACTTAATTCTTAGTTTTTTTAATCAGCTTCTATTTCCTCTCCCCCCAAACTCACTCCAAACTTAAGTCCAAAGAAAAGTCATAAAGAAAGATAAACTTGTCTTGGTATGAACATCAACTGTGGTAAATTTTATATTTCTGAGAACTCTCACTTTTACTTTTGTTAGGTACTTCCGGATGGGTGATTATAAACGCTTCTTTGGTATTTTAGAAACAGAAGCATCCCAAATGCAGTTGTGCCTTATAGAACCCTTCCTCAACGAGGTTATCTTCTAAACATTCAAAATTTATCTCTGTTCATGTAAATCTTGCCAATCAATGCATGTTTTCAACAGGCTACTTCAAAGCATGCTTCCGTAGCTACTTACATTGTGACCACAGTTTTGAAATGTTATTAAATCTGTTTAGTATCTGATGCAATTTATCTTCAGCATTAAAGTTTAGGCGTTAGGTGTGTAAATTCTTAGGAATTGAGTGATATGTTTGTAAATGTCCCTTTTTTAGCGTCCATTCGTTCCATGTCCATCCTTGGAGTTTCCTCGATACCTCGGACCTCTTATTTCCAATTAGATGCAGATTTCTTTCAATGCAAATTGTCTTACCTTTCGCGTTTTGGATTAGTTGATTATGCTCAGCTTACTTTACTAATTGCGAGCACTTTTGATTCTTCAAGGTTCGTGTGCAAGCAATATCATGTATTAATCACAGTGCTTACAAACTTCAACCTTATCCTTTAGAACATCTGTCTGAAGTGCTAATGATTAAGGTATTGCTTCCCTTTCATGTTGTCTTTTACTTGAATCTGTAATATCTTGTTTTCTAACTTGTGGTTTGTTTAGGACAATTTTCTACCTGTTTTGAATTTCAGGCCGTCACCTTAGTTCTGTTTGGAAAATAATTTTCCTGTTGTGTTCTAGAAAAATGCTGCTTTTTGCAACCAAATCTGTTAAAGTGTGGTTGTAAAAATTGTGCCGCATTTTTTGTGTTGGTGAACTGAAATCAAGCCGACTTAAACTTTCAGGAGCAGGAGCTTGAATCCTTGTGCTGTGAATGTGGCCTGGAAGTAATTACAGATGAGTTTGGGTGCAAGTTCTTGCCGGTCAAACAATCCAATCTCCATCATCCTAAATCCGACTTAGAAAGCTACCGCCTAAAAATTTCAGATAAGTTTCACAGGTACTGATCCCTCATGGGCTGTTTGGATCACCTTTATTTTTTGTTCTTAAATATATATATTGATTTAAATTAAAAAATTATTTGTTTTTAAAAGTCAAAACATATAAAATTTGTAACATAGTTTTCTAAAAAATAAATAAAATAAAATATAAACAGGAAACAAAAGTGATGCCAAATGGGATTTGTTGTTTCAGAGTTGTTTATGTTTGAACTCGCAGATGAATGTTGAAAGTTTAATATTACAAACCTTAAAATTAATTTTTACATATATACCAATGTAGCTATGCATGAAATTAAAGTTAAAAATTTGGAATGGTATAAATATAAAAAAAGTAAAGTTTAGCCTGTTTGATATGGAAAAACATAGAAATTGGGTGGGTATGTATGTAAATGTCCCCTGCGGCATATTTCATTTCTAATTAATACATCCATCAAAACTTTTTATCATTTATCAATCATATTATGCAGTTCTCAGACAAGGGAGAGCTCCAGCAACAAAGCTGTCCTGAAGGAATTGCCAAAAGCTTCAGAGTGATGATTCTAAACTCGTTTTCTGGCGCAAAGGAGAAAAGTTTCTGGCTCAAATTTAAAGTAATTTCCTTTAGAACCAAACAAATGCAAATAATATTTACATATATGCCATTCAATTTTTATATATTTAAATATTCAATGCAGGAACTTTAATTTTTACATATATGAGATCTTATTTATTTATGGATGAAAAAATATATTTCACTATTTAGAAGTTAAGATGGTGATATATTTTTTTTATGTGATATGAAAAATAGTTGGGTGGCTAAATGTAAAAAATTAAAGTTTCGGTGTTAGATACGTAAATGCATAAGAATTGGGTGGTATTTATGTAAACCAACGCACGAACCATTTATTGTATAGTTCTGCTTACGTTAAGGAAGCTGACTATGCATGAATAAATAATGTGCATTTATGTTTGAGTGATTGAAAATGGATGACTGGTTGGTAGATTTGTAATTAACAAGTTCTGAATGGTATGTACCTAATTGGCCCATATATATATATAGATATAGTGAATGCATTGTGTGAAAATTGAAATGTATATAAATGTTTAAATGAAACAATACCAAAATTGATTTTTAATTTTACATGCAATTCAAAATATGATATTGGGGCATCTACAAAGTTTGCAGACTATAATCAATGAAAAAGTTTTTGATTTTTTGTATTTTAGTTTGAAATAAAACATATTTAAATTTTAAAAAAATGCAAGGAGCCTAAAAGTTATTCTGAATTTTTTTAAAAATAAATGGAAAAGTTTTTAAAATAAAATATTAAATAAAGATTTACATACATACCTCTTATGTATTTACATAATCAACACCTAAATTGCAATTGTTAAATACATGCCATCTTAATTATGCTTGAAAAGGTATATTTCACATTTTATAAATTAAAAAAGTAATATATTTAATGTGACATGAAAGATTGAGTGGTAGAAGGTGTGAGCTATATAAATACATAAGAATACGTTGAAAAAATACTAAGCTGAGAATCATGCTTTGTATCACAACTTACAATAATTGTTCCCCTCATAACATATACATTTATTGAACAAGCTACTAGTAAAGAAAACTAAGGGATTATAAACAAAAGCATTTAAATGGAGTTTATATATTTTCAAACAGTTTTGCATAAATATTTGACAGCATTATTGTTAAAGACGCACAAAATTCTCAATTAATTCTGAAAAAATAATGATGAAGGCAACACCCATGACAATGGTGAGTGTGACTTTACCTCCAGGAACCAATGGAGGAACCAGAGATGTAGATGAAGAAGAGGAGTACCTCTCTGACCAAGACATGGCACCAGGAAGAACACCAAATAGCACAAGAACTGTCACAAAATCAAAAATAAATTAAAGGAAATTTACATACATACCACAGTACTTTCTGAATTTAAATATCTAATGCCTAAAGTTTGATTTTTACATTTCTAACTCTCGAATTTTTCTTATCACATGAAAAATACCACTATAGCTAACTTTTTAAAAATGAAATAGACATTGTGATTATGGGTAAGGTGGTATTGATGTAAGCTACAAAATTTAGGTGTTTGATATGCAAATACATAGGAATTCTGTGGCATATGATAATCTTCCAATGAATAAATAATATAAATTGACAACAGCAACAACAACATTGACAACAGCAACAACAACATTGACAAGCCTTTATCCCACTAAGTGTGGCCGGCTACATAATCATTTTTCTCCATTGTGTCCAATTGAGTGTCATATTTTCATTTAATTCTAATAAATTAAGATTAATTTTTATACAATATGCCCAAGTTTTTTTTTTGTTCTACAGTTGTTTTTCTTAACATAAGTTGAATCTAAAACATCTATTGTCCTAACCGGATCATCCGATGACCGACGTTTAAAGTGATCAAACCATCTAAACCGACTATCTCTAAGCTTGTCCACCACTAGAGCTGCACCAACACTATCACGGATATATTCATTTCGCATTTTGTCTCTAAGTGTCAAGCCACTCATCCACTTAAGCATTCTCATCTCAGCAAAACTTATTTTTGTTTTATGCTTCTCTTTTAAAGGCCAACATTTTGCACCATAGAGCATTGCAGGTCTCACCACCAAGTCAAAGTGGTACTTTTCTATCACACAAGTACCGCTTAGATTTGAAAGAATTTATTCTCAAGTTCATTTCATATACAAAATGACTGAATTCACTGATTGTTGATGAACTCATACCTCCATAAGTCCCTGCGAGGTCCAAGGCTTTGAAAAATATTTCTGGATCAAGCAATGCTAAGATGAAAGGTGGCACCAAAGTCAGCAAGTATGGCAGAAGCTTGTTCTGTCCTGCTGGTAGCTTCAGCACTGCAGTTTCCTCAAAGGAACATAAGAAATGTCTTACACATAATATCAGATGCAGAGTCAGTTTTTAGAAAATATTGAAATTGAGCGTGCATTGTCATCTACCACTTTTTTTAGATAGTAGGATTTACATACATACCACTTAATTCCTGTGTATTTACATATCTAACACTTGGACTTCAATTCTTACACATATGGCACCTTACGCATGAAAGTGTATTTCATTTTTAAAAAAGTAAAAATAGTAGTAATTTTGATGTGATATGAAAGATTTGGGTTGTGTAAATGTTAAAAATAAAATTTTGGTGTAAGATATGTGAATACATATGAATTGGGTGAAATGTATGTAAATGTAACTTTTTAATAACATTGTCATTATGGATATATTATTAATTTGATAGTAATATTCTCTATGTGAAATAGTTTGTTTGGTTCAATGTACTCACAGAGTTTAATGCTAGTTAGAATAATCAACAATGAGTTGATTTTATTTTCACTTTTTGTCTGGTCATCAAGATGGTGGAAATCTAGATATCGTCAGAATTAGCTATTATTTTGATGTCTTAATGTTGAGTACAATGTTATTCATACTAATTTAATATTGGAGATAACATAAATTCAAGGGTTAAAATCATGCAATAATGGTGTGCCGAGGCATGATATTTTTTGTGAGATGAGACATAAGCCTCGATATAAAAGCATTATATAATTAAAAAATAAAAACATAGGAATAATAGTTTTAGTTCACACATAATATCATAAAAAGTCATACATGTATACAAAAGCTCAATAATAAACAAGAAATCTAAGATAAACAATAAATATAATTAGTAAATCTAAAATAGATAAACATGTCATAAAGCAAATTAATTATGACCTATAACTCTGAATTCCAGAGTCACTTCCACTCCCATCACTTTGAGGCTACTTACATTAGAATCACATCATAGTTGATTGCGTTCCCATGTCCCTCATCCTCATTGTATCAACATTGTCTCAATCTCCTTCATCATTTTCAATCTCAATCATATTCTTCTACCCTAAATAAAGAATTCATGAAGTATGAATCATTTGTAATTTTACATTACATAAACTTTTATACTAAAATTTTTTAGTAACTTTTTGCTGACTTTTGTTGTTCATGTTCCTTCATGAGAAAAAATAACATTGAGATCAATCGTGATTGTTAAGTTCAATTTTCAACTTCTACAAACCACTTGTTCCCCATTGATACATCGTTAATAACTACGAGAACATCATCAACCTCCAAAACTTCCTTCCTAAGATGTATATCTTCTAATATCTAGTTGTATCTTCAAAAAAATGCGTATCTTTTCAGCCAAACAAATTTAAAAGAAAAAATCTTTAAAAATGCCTCAAGGAGCATGAGCTCTTCACTAGTTGGAAGCACAGGTCACTTCTTCCTCACATGAGACAACAGAATTGGAGCTTTTTATTGTCTCAGTCTGAGGCACGCCTCAAGAAGCATAACTTCAAATATTGATCAAATCAACAAATTTTGTTACAGGATGACATAAAAAAGCATACTTTATCTAGTTTTAAGACTACCCTCCCAATGCTAAATTATTCTCTACCCGGACTTTTAGCAAAAAATAATGACGAAGAAAAGCAAAAGCAACAAAAAAGAAAAACTTTTAACATTACCACAAAAACAAAGGCAGATTTACGTGCGTAGCAAACAATTCTTATGTATTTACAAATCTCACATTAGATTTATATATGTACATACATAGCACTTTGGTGTTTTAAACCTATGCATGAAAAGTTGAATTTCATTTTCAGAAAGTGATGATAGTGCTACTTTTTATGTGATATTAAATAATTGAGTGCTACATGTCGAAATATGAAAGTTTATGTGTGGGATGAGTAATTACATAAGAATTGTGTGCTAGGTATGTGAATGCCCCAAAACAAAAAGCACTTACAGTCAGCAATGAAGTCTGTGAGTCCCAGAACAAATCCAATATATGATGTTCCTATGGCAAGAAATGAGAACACCTCCACGATTGGCTACATAGCAATTTGTCAAATGAAGAATGATTAACTTAGAATGTCCGCTTCCTCTCAAAACTAGTTGCTGATTCAAAGCAGTTCTACAATGGTTCGGTTTAACGGGTGAGTCAACTCACCCCAACTATCCCATTATTCGATCGAAGCTGCTCGAGCGGGTCGGTGATATTTTCAGCGTTCATCTCGAAATTTGGAAGAGTACCAAGTAATACAGCATCCCAGATAAGGAACAAAGCAAGAGGAACAGCTGTCCCGAAGACAATAGCAGTCCTATGATATGTATATATAAAACAAAAACAAATTTTACCAGCAGGTTTGTAATGTCATCAAACAAAAAAAACCAAAACATGCCCTTTTTAGTATTTAATGAGCTATTAAACTCAATCTTTGTTTTCTACTTAACAAGAGATATTGAACTGGCACTGTGGATATAGGGCTGCGAAATTGCGCAGCTCATAGAACAAATTTAAAATCAAGCACTTGGTTTGTATAAATTAAGTTTTTTGGTAATATAAACTGACACAGCCGCTTGTAATTCGAGGGACTTCATCGCTTACAAGGCAGCTGCTGCTTTCTTTCTTTCTTTTTTTTTTATCCATTTGCATTTGGCGTGCTAAGGTTATCCTATTTTTACTTTCTTCCAAGTCATTTTCCTTTATGTGGCTGAACATTTTTTTTTATTATTATTAATTTTCACATTGTCAGCTGCCAAAACTTGTTTTTTAATAAAATATTTACATACATATCACTTGATTCTTATGTATTATCTAAAATCCAAATTTTAATTTTTACGTATAAGTTATAAGACGCTTAATTTTAACATTAAAATTTTTAACTTTTCTAAATAAAAATAATGATATTTTTCATGTGATATGAAAATTTTAGGTGGCATAAATGCAAAACATAAATTTTTTGTTAAATATGTAAAAAAAGAAAAACAACATTTATTCTTCCCTCAAGAAGACGGAAAAGAATAAAATGGAAAATAAGAATTGACTGGTATGTATGTAATGTCCCTTTTTAATATAATTGGTTCTGAAAGGAATTGAAGAGTTCTCTATAAATTTTTTAAATACAATCACATAAAATTTAAAAATTATTAAAAATTAACACAATAATTTAATTTGAATAAAATTAAACTATGTTGAATAATATATTTTTAATTTGAATTAATTTAATTTAATTTAATTATCCAAATAATACTAAAAAACTGACAATAAAAAATTCTTTCATAACTTTTCACTGATTATTCCACAAAACTGGACCAAAAAAATAAAAACAGATTTGAGATAGAACTCCACAACTCTTATTCAAACAATAAAAAAATAAGCATTTATATACATACCACATAACTCTTATTATCCGTTTACCTTGTTTTTGGTAGTCAAGGATAAATGCCAATTTTAATTTTACATATTTAACACAAATTTTATTTTTATATTTATATCGCCCAAAATTTTCACATCAGATAAAAAATATCAGTAATTAAACAAAAATAAAATAAGATACACCGTTTAATACAAAACTCAGGTGGCATATATATAAAAAATAAAGTTTGGATATTAGATATGTAGATACATGAGAATAAGTGATATGTATGAACAAATTAATAATAAAAAAACTACCAACAACCCGCACATGAAAGCAGTCAGAAAAAAAAAAAAACATACAACAAATGCAAATGGATTAAAAAAATGGTTTTTCCATGTAAGCTTTCAGTCGCCTGTATTACGAGCGACTATGCCAAAATATAAATTTATATTTTGCAATATCGAAAATCTTAAGTTATATTAACGAAATGCTTGGTTTTAAAATTTTCCTGGATGATGATGGACCTGATCAAGATTCTACGATTATGTCATCCTGGTTTGTCATAATCACTGGTTTACTTAGTGAAGGTAATCGCCTAACCTGACAGAAGAATTTTTGTCAGTAGTCATTGATTGTTTTGTATTGAGATTTGAACCTTATTTAGAAATCTATTCGTAAAAAGGAAAGAAGCAGGAGGGTGTTGAGGCATACGTTACTGTAGCTCTGTAGCACCGCAAATGTGTTACTGTAGTAGCTACATTAACCGCAGAAATATCTCTTTCATATTATCCTTTTTTTTCCTTTTTTAGCTTCTTCCCTCCATATTCATTGTCTGTCTCTTCTACCACCTTCCACTTCTATCCTATTTTCAAATTTCTTCATTTCCCGCCACCCCTCTTTTATTCCTTGCCTATTCTCCTACTTGTCCAGTATTTCTATTTCCACCTTATTTATAGATGTCGTTTGCTAAAGGCAGGGGAGGTTTTCGATGAGTGGAGAATTAAGAGTTTTATCTTTGAGACATTCTTCCCCTACGGGGGTTGAACCCGACAAAGAGAAGGTGCTCCAACTGTAACTCGTCCGAGTTGGTGACAGTCTCCAAGGGTGTGGTTGGTGCTCCAACTGTAGCTCGACCCTGACAAGATATTTATCCTTCTGAAGCTCCCCTCTGACCCCACTTCCAGCAACTTTCATTCATTTCTGTGGCCAAAACCAGCTGCCCCAACCCCTCCCGAACTTGTTGTCCTATCTTCCAGTCGCCCATCTGCAGCTCCCACATCTCCCAGACTTCATCCCATCACCCAACCACCCATTCTCTGCAGCAGAACATTATCGTCCAGCTAGTCCCTTCCATGCCAGCTACTCTGCCGCCCCCTCAACAATCTTCCAGCCTGCTGTCACGCCTCCCAAACCGGTTGTCTAGCCTCCCGGAACCTGCTACCCAACCTACTAGCCATCTACCTACACTCTCCCAACCTTCCAACCTCCCCTAGAGCCTTCAACCCTTCCCTCTTTCCCACTCGCTACTGTGTTAACGCCACCACCACCCTTGGATTGTCTCTTCCGGTCGAGGCTAATTATTGGTGTTTATTGTTTATATGTGATGTCGTTTATTTCATGCTCGCAAGTGTCTTATTTGTACCCTTTAGAAATAATAATTGTTTTATTTTTTCGAGGTGGTTTGGGTTTCCTCCAGTATGAAGGGAATATTGATGCAAACTTGGGGTTTATTTGTAAAACTTTGTAATACCCTATTAAGCCCGAGTTATGAATGTAGAGGGCAAGTTTTCCGAACAATTTTTACTACGTGATATCAAAGCCTAACCCTAACAGTTGTCGCGTTGGTGCTGATTGTTGGGATCAGCATGCATTGTTGATGCTGCTCGACTCCAAGATCGGCGTGTAGAGACACTGAACTACGATTTTCTCTTCTTTCCGCTTTGTCATCGTGAAATAGTCACGACTATAGCTAATTGGTACGGCAACAAAGGGATTGCAGCTTGAAAATTGGAGATACAGTTGCAATTAGAGCTAACTGGGAAGGTGATCGTGATTATTTATTCGATATGAAAGATTTGAATGGTAGAAATGTAAAAAAACAAAGTTTAGATATTAGAAATGTAAATACATAAGAATAGGGTGGTATGTATGTAAATGCCCCTAAATACAATATTCACACTACTTGCAAATAATGAAGGCTCTCATGCCATTAAAGGTTGGCTGTTTTTCACTTCATTCTACCATAAAACCTTAAACATAAGAAGCTAATTTGTCAAAATGCTAATTTCTATTACATTGTGTTAGAGCAACATGAATTATGAGAAACTCGAAACTGATATATATGAAAGGAAACAAGATCGAAAAAATACTGAAGAAAAAGGATTTGCACCTGACTTTTGATAGGTTTCCCTCAAGGTTTGTGCAAAGAACTGGAACTACATTCTGAAAATAACAAGAACAGTGTTAATATACTCATATAAGAGGAGAAAAGCTACATCATTTACCTGGTAGACAAATGACAGAGCAATTATAGGTACACTTTGCGGAACGGCCTCAAAATTAGCCTGAAGAAGAGAACTCCATTGCAGGTCTCCACTTGCCACTCCCTATATGTAAAATGGAAGTATGGTACAGCTAACGTAAAGCAATCTTTTTTCTATATTGAAGTAGCTACTTAGGTAACAGAAGTCAAATAAGAAAGCCTTTTACCACGAGTGCTGTAAAGGAAATGACGATGCCGAACACCAAAACTCCATTAATTGCTCCAAGTACCCTCTGACTGCAGTGCATATCAACTTAGAATCAATTTATTTTGCTAGCAAGAGTCTGAAAATTCGAAGGAGAATTTACATACATACCATCTAATTCCTATGTATTTACATATCTAACACCTAACCTTCACCTTCACATTATAACTGTTGAGATTTGTATCTTATTTTGAGAGGTTTAAATGTAAATAGGAAATATAGAAGTAGTCTAAGGATTATTTGTAAAAGGATTATAAGGCTCCATAGAAGCCCAACTCACAAATGAAGGAAACAACGCTTTACCAAAATTATTCACGTCATCGTATCAGAGCCTAGCCGTCACAACCGTTTCTTCTTGCGAAATAGTCATGCTAACTGGGAAGGCACAGGGTTCATCCTCGCCACTAGGACGGGATAGCAGGATAAAGGCACGTGATCGGTTTGTACTGGCCTCACACTAGCTGAATTGCGGGATGAAGGCCCTCGTAAGAATGAACAGGTGATGCGGCTAGGGCTTCGGCGTTGAGCGACTGCGGGTAGATCAGGAAGATCAGGGAAGAGCAAAGTGCGGCTCGATTTACTTCTACGGATAGGAGAGGCAAACAATAGAAGAACCAAGGAAAATGGGCTAGTGCAAGCGAACAGGGAGCGACGAAATGCAAAGGATTGATTTTCTCTGTATGATTCTCGTTCCAAAAGGGGAGTGGGATTTGTGCATGCAGAGAGCAGAAGAGATAGACAGGTGTGGAGGCTTCAAGTTGGGTCACGTGCAGAACAGCGAAGGTTCTATGGTAAATGCAGGAACGGCTCTAACGAGACTGCAAAGAAGCAGGGAAGATTAGGGCTTTGTCTCTGTTGCAGTTTTGAGAATCCGGAAAGGAAACGAAACTCTATTGTGTGTTGATATTTCCAAGTGAGTGAGGGTTCATCTGTTTGTAATTGAGGAAAGAAATCTGTCTCTTAATGTGTGAGAGACAGACGAAGGCTGCGGAATAGTTAAATTGATGATATAAGTTGCATAAGGCTACATTCTAAATCAAGTGGACTTCTAGGTATGTCAAGTATGACAGGAACCCAGGGGAAGACCCGCAGGTGCTTCAACTACAAAGAAGTGAGACACCTGAGCATGGCTTGTCCAAAACCAGACAAGGAGAGAGAGATGGGTGGACGTGGATAGCCTAGAGGTTGTGGTCGTAATCATGGGGGCTTGAGAGATGGAAGAAGGGGCTACCGGGCAAATGGTAGAAATGAATGAGGGAAAGACATGGATAGTCTTTACCAATGAGGATCACGAGTTACTGAAGATGCTAAAAAGGAAACAAAGAGCGGCAGGTAATGTGACTGAGGACGCATCCACCTTATCATCATCCAAGGGAAACACTGCTAGTTATGCTCACTCAGCTAAAAGTACTCGTGATACACATACTTTTGCCTCTATATCCACCACAAGATCACTAGAATGGATAGTAGACTCTAGTGCATCTCGACATGTGACAGGTATTGCTAGTGAGTTATCTTCCTATATTCATCCAGCAGTTCCAGAGCACATTTAAAACGCTGATGATACAACACAACCTGTGGTTGGTAAGAGTATAGTGAGGTGTAATAATTCTATGACTTTGTATAATGTTTTGCATGCTCCATCCTTTCCAGTGAACCTTTTATACATTAGTTTCATTATACTTCAATTAAATTGTGTTCTTTTATTTGATATTCCAAAAACGCTGATGATACAACACAGCCTGTGGTTGGTAAGAGTATAGTGACGTGTAATAATTCTATGACTTTGTATAATGTTTTGAATGCTCCATCCCTTCCAGTGAACCTTTTATACATTGGTGTCATTATACTTCAATTAAATTGTGTTGTTTTATTTGATATTCCAAAGGTGATCTTTCAAGGAAGGGAACTGACACGTGGCAAAGTGAACTCTAATAATTGGATAGAGAGTGGATGGACTCAGCCTTGACATCCATGGTTAGAATGCTAAAGCAGGAGAATCTGAGAGGGGCGAAAAGGATGGTTTGCTACTACATCACAGGCATATGAGACACTCTTTGTTTAGTCTATTGATTTGCTTGCATCCATCCTTGTATGAAAAAATGAATAAACAAAAACTCGTGTGATACCGGAGAAGAAGACCTAAATCACAAAAGAAACACAATTATGAAATTGAAATCGGTTACAACGACGAATCTTCAACATAAAATAAAGGATAAAAAATACACAACATAGAACGACACGAACAAACACCTTGAAAGTGTATCCCAAGGGCGATGGAGGTTTCCTGGTGGATCCAGAGACTTGCGACAGCTAGGGTGGATGCGGGAGAGGGCCCGACAGGGGTTGGAAGGTGAACTGGAGGAGGGAGGCTATAGGTTAAGGTGAGGGGAAAATTTTTGGGTGGCAGGGAGGTAGGTTGGAAGGTGGGTACAAGATGGGAAGGTGGGAAAATAGTTGGGAAGGCTCTCCAGCAGTTTCAGAGGGTGGATAGCGAGCGAGGAAAAGCTAACAACAAGAGGAAGGGTCGGGACAACAAGGTAGCTATTGTAGGGGTGTCGGCTGACTGCTGCGAGGGACTTGAAAGGGCTGGACAACAGGTTGTAGCTGGAAGGGAGTCAGCAGTGTAGGGAGAAGTTGTTGGGGGTGGCCGACGACTAAGGGAAATGGAGGAGAAGTAGTATAGAAAATAAAAGTGGAGATATAACCACCACCCCGGAGTAGGATACAGTCGAAGCACCACCACCTCCTTGGATACAACCCACAAAGAGAAAAAAGACTCTATACAATAATTTTAAATCAACACACACCAAAAACTAAACCCTAAATCTGGAAAACAACAATTTAAAGACTCTCAGGGGAAAAACAGAGAAGGAAAGCTCTCGTAAGGAAATCACAGAAAAGGATGGAGAGGAAAGGGATTGGCGGCAATTCCACCCTTTCTAAACCGCCGCTCGATCGAGCGGGATGCAAAAAAGGCATGGAACAAGGCGCGGGAGGCCGCTCGTCCTGTCAGGATTCTCGTCTAGATCACTTGGCCCAGGATTCCCCAAGATCGACCTCAATTGGGCAAGTCGGTTCACTAGCGAGAGTTCACGCTCCCGCGATTCCGCTACAGGAGAGCGCCGCTCCCGCGTGGTCACGGCAAGTTCAGCGTCATTGTGCGTGATGCTTGTGAGGCGGTAAGCATACTAAGAGCTCTTATGTTTGTTTTGGTAAAATGTGTTCTTATATTTTTAATTTGGTGCGCTCAGATGTATGGGACCTTGCTCTACAACTCCTATGGATTGTTGCAGATATTATGTCTTTCATCGTTTGTTTTTCTCATGTTACTTTGTTATATCTGATGATAAACAAAAGTAAAGTACTTGTCTGCTTTAAAGACTTCATAAGACATTCAAACTGAATAAAATGTTGTAGTGAAGGTATTGAGGTCCGAAAATGAAATAAAGTATAACAACAAGGCGTTTGGGAAATACTTGTTAGCCCAAGAAATACAGCATCAAACCATGTGTTCATACACACCGACACAAAATGAAATAGCTGAGAGGAAAAATAGATGCCTTCTAAAGGTACCTCAAAACAAGATGATCACGATGAATGTCCTAAAGCACTTGTGGGAGAAGACAGTTTTGACGACCTAGTTGATCAACAAAATGCCCTCAAGGGTGTTAGATTGGTATTATCATTGTCAGATGTTGAAATGTAAAATAACAAAATCCTCCCCTTGAAAGTTTTTGGTTGTGAATGTTTTGTGAAGGACAACAGACCATCAGTAGGAAAATTGGATCCTAGAGCTATAAAGTGTGTTTTCGTGGATTATTATGGTACAAAAAAGGATATGTTTGTTTGATTCCGATTGAGAAGAGACTGTTTGTGAGCATGGATGTGTCCTTTAGAGAGCTCAAACCATAATACACTCTGGAGGTGACATCACCCTATAGTGACTCATCAGATACTAGAAGTATGAGGCATGAGGGGGAGAGTAGTGATGGTCAGAGATCGATGCATGTGGGAACGATGCCTTGTCCCTTTGTGTGAGAAGGATCAGCTGAGGAAGACCCTTAAAATGAAGAAAATGAGCCTTAAAGTGGAGGAACTCAAGCTCAAAGGGAGTTGAGAGTATGCAAGGAGGAGATAGAATGAGAGAGAAGTACCTACCGTGTCACTCCTGTCATCAAATCACTTGTTCTACCCCGACTCCTGAAACACCTACACCATCTACTTTAGAATCAGAATACCCAAGTGATATGATTCTTCTCCCTTATCCTCTCACTCTTATGGCTTTAAGGAGGACCTCTCGCAGCAATTTGGGTCGTTCATGTGATTGTTATTCTCCTGATTATTTTGGTTTCTCACAAAACATTGTTCAATTTGTCTCATACTCTAACATATCATCTGTACACTGAGCATTAATTGCATCTTTAGACAAGGTCTCTATACCTTAGTGTTGGCAGGTAGCTAAGAGAGGTCCAAAGTGGAAGACTGCTATGCTAGAAGAACTTGGTGTTCTGGATAAGAACAAAACGTGGGAGATAATGTCATTACCGATGGGGAAAAGAACAGTTGGGTGTAAGTGAATCTTCAAAGCAACACAAAATCAAGAAGAGGAAGTGGAGCATTACAAGGCAAGATTGGTGGCGAAAAGGTACAGTCAGACATATGACATTAACTATGACGAGACATTTGCACCAGTAACAAAGACGAGCACAGTGAGGACACTTGTTTCTTTGATTGTGAATGATGGATGGAGGTTACACCAACTCGATGTGAATAATGATTTTCTTCATGGTGAGTTACTAAAGGAGATGTATTCGAACATAGCACCAGGATTTGGGACATGTCAAACAGTGGGCAAGGTCTTCAGGCTCTGGAAGTCATTTTATAGCATAAAATAATCTCCTCAAGGCTGATTTAACAAGTTTAGAAAAGTTATGTTGGGCATAAGATATCAACAGATCAATGTTGATAATGCAGTATTATTTCAACAAAATGGTGGGCACATCGCTATGCTTGTTATGGATGTTGATGATATAATTATCACTGATGATGATGAGGCAGAGATTGCTCAACTAAATAATAAATTGGGCAAAGATTTTTAGGTTAAGGACCTTAGACAGCTTAGATACTTCCTTGGGATTGAGGTGACTCATAGACCAAACGGGGTGGTTTTATCTCAAAGAAAGTATGTATTAGATCTCTTTACAAAAACATGCATGCTGGGATGCAAGCCTGCAATCTCTCCAATTGATCAAAAGACTAAGTTAAGTGCAGACATCGTGAGGGATATCAGAGATTGGTGGGTCGTTTAATCTATCTGAGTCACATGCGTACCGACATCTCATTTCCAGTGAGAGTGGCAAGCCGCTATATGCATGATTCAAGGAAGGTTCATATGGATGTCGTGTATCAAATTCTGAGATAATTGAAAAGTGCACTAGGGAAGTGGTTGATCATTAGAAAGAATGGGCACGTAGGCATTGAGGGCTATTGTGATGCTGGTTGGCTGAGCTATACAAATGACATAAGATCCAACTCATGATACTGCATGTTTGTAGGTGACAACTTGGTCTCTTGGAAGAACAAGAAACAATCTGTAGTAGCGAGGTCTGTAATAACATAAATAAAATAAAATAAAATAAACTGAATAATAATAATAATAAAATTAATTAATTAATATAAGGTGCGGACAGTTAGAAGAGTCGCAACCCTCACAAAAATTTTAACTCATTCGAAATAGTCGAATGAGCAAGGAGAAATTGTCGTATCCCAGAGAGAGAAAGGAAGAAAGAAACAGTAGAAGTAGTTAAAGGAGAAGGAAAACTTGATGCCCAAATCGAACAGCTTTGCCAATCTTCGTGCAGGTGGAAGGAAGATCGGGCGACTCGACACTATGCTCACGGAGGAAGAGAAAGCGATATCGTATGAGTGTGTCGCCCTGGATTGAGTTGTGCAAAGTAAAGCTCCGACTACCCTGCTGCTCTGTTGAATTGAGCCTCAACCAAAGGAGAAGAGAAGGTGAGTCAAACTTCTGCAGTGCTCGCGTGCGTATAGAAGAAGAGGAGGAAGAAGTATGTGATTTGCTTGGGCGACTCGAGATCGAAGGAAAAAAGAAATCTTGCTTGTGGCTCTAGATCAAACTGAGACCGAAGGGTGGCGAAGGAGAGAGATCTAGCATGCAAGATGAAGAGAAGAGTCGAAGCTTCGTGTGTGAGCTAGAGCTAAGGTCAGAGCTTTTAAATAAAGTATGTGTAATATTTAAGTTAGTATATTGTTAGATAAAAAATTATATTTATTTGTGAGGGTATGTTTAATTAATTAATGTAAAGTTTTACTGAAATCTGGGATTAAACAAATAGTGAATTGAGATTTGAAGGAAAGGTTGGAGGAGTGTGCCAATGAGAGTGGAGATTGATACCAACAAAAATCTTCATATTTAAATTAAACAAATTATTCAAATGTTATATACATATTTTTTATGTTAAAATATAGTTTATTTGAACCAGGTCTTGTAGAGGAAGATTGAGAGGGAAGGGGAAGGGTTGGACAACCAAAAGACTTCAAGGATTTTGGCTTACTAATGGAATTAATTGCTTAATTAGTTACATAAATTAATAATATTAAATTTATTTAGATTGGGAGATGTGAAGAATTCGATAAATCATTTGGATTTCATGAAGATAAGAATCCTAAAGCTAAAAGAGGTAATCGTTTTAAAAATTATTTTATATTTAAATAAGACTCTCTTTATAATGTAATTATTATAGTTATATGCATATTTAATTGGTTTAGGTGCTAAGAAGTAAAGTGAAGTATAGATATTTCAGAGGTCTCTTAAGAATAAACTGAGTAATTATTTTCTATATGTATTAAATTTAAATTTGTTTAATGTTTTAGACAAATAAAATTTATGATTTTATGCATGTTGTAGCTTAAGAATAAAAGAAATCAAACGGGAAAAAGGAAAATGAATGTTTAATGTCTTTAAAAGGTGGTAATTTAAAGGAAATAAAATGAAAGGTAAAGGTTTAAGTCGTACAGAATTACCCCCATATGATACTGGCGGGGAAGCAATATACTTGTGCACGTTAAAAGAACTGGTAAAGATACATTTGTGAATGCAATTTGAGGGTACCTTCGAGTATATTTTGTAGGTTGCCTTCAAACACATTTTGAGGGTGTCTTCGAGCATATTTTTGAGGATATTTTCAAGTATGACGGTAATCCTATTATGACTTTTAAAAATGTTGAAAATGATAATTACTTAAAGTGAAACGGGAATGACCAAAATTAAAGTTTTAATGAAATTTACTGCCTTTTCCTTTTTTGGTGATTCATGCATAGCATAACATAAGAATTAAGTGCATATTAAATTATAATTATTCACTAAGTTTTACTTACAATTGAAGTTAAATATTTTCTTTCAGAAGAAGAAAAGTTTTAGGTTGATATGTCTGATAAAAGAGACTTTATTTACCAAAGGAGAACCACTATTGCTTGGTATTTTCTTGATGAAAGTTTTCTTTACAATTTATGTTGTTTTTTATTTACTGTTTAGTACTGGATTGAGTTGTTATTTTTGGATGTTATTATTTTTGGATGATTTATATTTATTGCGCTTGTGGATCAGTGGTTCTTTTATATGTATTGGAAGTTTTCAAAAATGTGGATAGTTAAATGTTAATACCGTCCTACCATTGTTTCCACCTCCGTTAATTCTAAGCACCGGGTTAGGTCGTGACAAGGTCAATTGTAAAGGTAGAGTCCAGGGTGAAAGCCTTAGGTGTTGTTGAGATGGTGTGGTTGAGAGCCTTGTTGGTCGAGCACAAGGTGGATCAAGGAGCCCAAATGAAGTTGTGGTAAGACAACAAGTCAACAATCAACATTTCCAACAATCTGATTCAACACGATAGAACCAAACATGTGGAGATTGATAGATTCTTATCAAAGAAAAGCTGAATAACGGGCTATTGGAACCAAGTCATGTAGCCATTGGAGAGCAACTAGTTGATTGCCTCACTAAAGGACTTGGTTTTATGTGACAATATGGGCTTAATAGATATCTTTTGCCCATCTTGAGGGGTCTAATTGTAAATAGGAAATATAGAAGAAATCAAGGGGTTATTTGTAAAATGATTATAAGGCTCTATAGAAGCCCAACTCATGAATGAAAGAAAAAACCCTTTACCAAAACTATTTTCTTCAAAAACTATCCAAATATTTCATCACATCAAAAATGCCATGTTAACTTTTAAGAAGTTAGAAAGCCTAAATAGAGAGATCTAATTACATGATCTTTACTCTATTAGAGGTATTCCTAAACTATAGAGATTCAAAGTGTGTGTGTGTGTGTGTGTGTGTGTGTAACATGTTTTTAATGAGAATAAGAAAGAAGTTTTTTCCATTATAATAACAAAGTTAAACATGCCAAAATAAGAATGCTAAGATAAATTTGTAGAAAATTAACAAAGATAAATTGGTAAAATTTTGTATAAAAAGGATTTTGGAAAAATATTTATTGAATAGAAGGTAGTTGTGAATAGACTCGAGTAATAGGAACATGCTTGATAAATGTTAGAAAACATAACCATTAGAAGAGTAGAGATATTTTTAATGTTGAAGGAATATAACTTCATATAGGTAGAAATTTCTCAAAATAATTTGCAAAGAATATGTTTAAAAGCTCATACAGCACTCTTGATGAATGAATAAAAAATGAAAATTCAAATGAGTAATCCAAATACACACATACAGGAGATATCAAGTATATATGAAATAAAATTTTAACCTCTCTAAAGATTGGATAACAAATTATTAGGTTTATCTGAATAAATCCTAATCCATCTAAAGAAAATGAGCTATAGATATGATTCCTCAAAACCTAGATCCGTAATCCTAATTAGCAAAAATCCATACGCTAGAAAACTACTTGTTGCATATACACATAACAAAATGAAATCCAACCACATATCTAATACTATGAAGTAAGATAATAACAAACCTTCCGTAGTAGCATATGCCACCAAAAATCAACGAAAACAATGTAGCACTCTCCCATCTGCAAGGATTTTCCATGAAAATATTATTACAAAAATAGAATAATAGAAAAATTCTTTCACCATTGTTCATATACTAAAAATGCATTACCAAATACTCAACCAAAATGGAATATCAACTAAAGTTCTAGAAATCATGATAAAAACGCACTGAGATTCACTAGAGATTATAAACAAAAAAACATATAAAAATTGAGCTAAAATGCAAATCTTACAAGATCCCCCAAACATTATTTAAGCTATCTTACATCTTGAACAAGGAACAAAGGGTATTGTACAGATTTACCATTTGGTTCAAACCTCCTAATGGAAGCCTATAGTTAGGTACTGATTCAGGATGCTAAGGGTCAAGAGTTCCTATTATAACTCAATGGTGAGATGTTGCAAGCACAGCATTCAGATAAAAGAAATATTAATGCAAAGACTACTAATTAAAAATACTAATTGTTTTTCTTTTTAATTAATCTAATAAAACATAAGAAATTCTAATCAAATGATTGCTTAAATTAAGGAAATCAACAATAAAATGAAATCATTTAAAAAAATTGCAACTCGAATAGGATTCACATTTAAATTAGAAAATGCAGCTAATCCTAGATTTAATTAAAATCTAAATTGCTTGAAAAAATCAATCAAGAATTTTTTAGAGGAAAAATAAAAACGAAAGAATTCCCCAAAGAGATTGACGGTCGCTATTGCACCGCACTCAAAAGACATTCTACAGGTACAACAATAATTAATGTTTTTATATTTATGCATTTTCAAGGAACATTCTAATAGACCAGCTAAATTAGCCGTAACCTTCACACAAGCAAGGATGTTAAGATAGTTCTATTAGGATAAGTGTGAATCTTTAAACTCCTAAATAGATCCCACTGTTAGCACTGTCGAACATAGAGAATCTTATAAGTAATCTCACATCATCTTAGTCTTGCCAATGTTGATGAGCCCTAGAGTGCCCTAGCTCGCACCACCACCAAAATGGTTGCATGGAATCGACACCTTCATTAAAGCCTAACACATAAGAGATTGCTGAACTGAACGTTAGGCTCCCTCAAGTTCCTTAGGTTACCGACATAATCACGTGATTTCTCTCGTGTTCTCTCCCGACCGACCTTTCGCACCACCCTAGCTCAGTATATAACAACCAAAGGCTAGGGCAATGCAACCATGTCCCTTGCAGCCGCCTCTGACTCCGCCTTCTTCCTGCTCCAACACAAGTAGCTAACAATAGCACCTCTACTCATTCCCCCTCCTTTAGACTGAAAGCCAGCCAAAGACCTCCTTCCTTTGGTCAAGAGATTTCATACTTGCTAACAAAAATGCTTTGTTGTAGTTCCATTTTCCATTTCAACTTAGGGTGTTCTCGAAGTCGTCATCGCCAACCACAAAAGAATCTATAAGTAACCTTGTCTCTTCTTATATTTCCTTCTCTTTCCAGTTCAACATTGAAATCAAATTAATCCAACATATTCATAATTATTATTATTTACTATGAGAAAATAGTAGACTTGTTTAAATATCACTTTCTTAGAATTAGATTAGGTGAGTAGAATTTATTTACTTAGGTGATAGTGCTGTAATCCAAGTTATTTAGGTCCAACTATCAACCCTTAAAAGTTTGTATTTGAGTTGAAATAGAATAATTTGTTTGTTTTCAAGTGTTCGATTCTTTGATATGACGTAGATATTAAAGTATAATTTTTGGTTGTAAGATCATCAAACATTCTCACTTATGTTGTTTCACATTTGGCACACACGACGTTACTACAAGAATTGTTGCCATTGAATCTATCAGAACTGAACTTGGGCTTCTTCTCATTGGATCCCTCTAATTGATCTACATGTTCTCTTTCATCAGCACTCTTTCTCTTGTGCATCTTCTTACGCTTCGGAGCAAGCTGATAATCGCTCTCCGCTCTTTCATCACGTTCCACTAATACCTAGTATTCATCGATCACCAAAGGCACCAACAACTATCTAATTGAATCATTTAATCCTGAAAGAAATATGTACACATTTCTTCCACAATAGTGATCAACTATGTCGCAGACCTCGATAGTGCAGTGCATTCTGCTTCATATTGCATGATTGTCTTCTCTCCCCGCACTAACTTAATGAACATGACTTGTATCTATCTTCAAGCGTATATGGGTACAAATCATTCTCTAAAAAGCTCCAAAAACTCTTCCCAACTTGTCATCATGTTGGGTATGTCCTTAGCTTGTCCTGACGTTGCCCACGCCACAACCTTTCGGCTTCTCTATCCAATACAACAGTAGCTAACGATACTCTTACTTCACCCAGACAAAAGTAGCTAACTATCTAATATCTTTTCAATTACCATTAGCAAATTTTATGCTTCAATCGAATCTTCAGTTCCCTTAAACAATGGTAGACATAAATCTTGGAATCTTCAAGTACTTATCCACAGCGACTGTATCACTTTCGATGGGATGCGATATGGACTCCTAAATCAATTGTGTCATCATCTTCATCATCCAGGTCAGGACATCACATTCACATTTATAGTAGGTTGTACTTCATCGTTTTCTATAGAATTCTATTCTTCCATAATTTTGGATGTATCGCTATGTTTGTATGAATATAAATTAATTTAAGTTAAATTTAAATTTTTATTTTTATTATTATTAATATTTTCTTATAATTACTATTGCTTTTTCATCTATATTACATTAATTAATCCTAGACCTTATTCTGAAATCACATTTCTTACAACCCGGCCCGTAACGTAGAATTAATCAAGACAGGTACTAACGGTCGGACGGTGTGAATTAAGATTTTTATGTTCAATTTCTATAACTAGCTATTAACAAATGAACGAACCATTAAAAAATTTATATTAAATAAGTATAATTAAATTTTCCTCATTACAGACCTTCTATAAATATATTTTATTCTATTGTTCATTTTTAATCAATTAATTTTATCTGAAAAGTTGGTTTAAAATAATAATGAACTAAAAAAAGTAAGTGAATACTTATACTCCTAAACTACGGTAATATAAAGTAAATAAAATAATATGCATGTCAGTTAAGCTTTTAACAAATTAGAATAAAACATTTGATCATTTCTGAATATGACCACTTAAATATTTTATTATACTAATAGCATATTTATATCATTTATATATATATATATATATATAATGTTACAAGAGCAACAACAACAACAACAACAAAGCACTTATCT